GGGTTTGTGTGATTAAAAATCGTTTTAAACGTTGTGTTCGTTAAGCCTTAAAGTATTAAGAACAACCATTTTACTCCTCTTTTCTAAAAATAAACCTTATTCTATCGGGTCAGTCCATGTCAACTCAACTCACCCATTTTACCACACCACCTCAGATTTTCTTAAAATTTGGTATACCTACTTAAACTTTGTACTAAGACTAAGAAAAATACCAATTTTCAAAATTTTTATCTCACACCGTTTCCGATATATGGCTACGTAAAACGTTAATTTTTTAAATTATAATAAGCTGTCCTAATTCAGCTAGAAGACGAGGGTATTAATGAAAAGATTTTGTTCAAAATCCATATAATATATATTTTGATTTAATTTTTTTTCAAAAAGTACATAACTTAAAATTCTCAAAATATCTGTATAAATATTTAGTACTGTTGTGAATCATATAGTAAAATGTAAATGTGGGGTCTTAATGGGTTCATTGTTAAAAAAATACAAGCCTGAAAAACGTTGTATATTGTCAAAATTAGTTAAAACTGAAAAACCAGCATCAGAAATATTTTTTTTAACAATGAACCCATTAAGACCCCACATTAATAGTTTATTATATGATTCACAACAGTACTAGTATTTATACAAATATTTTTAGAATTTTAAATTATGTACTTTTTGAAAAAAAAAATATTTTACGGGCTTGTATAAAAGACCTGTAAAGTTTTACAGGCTTGTAAAAAAGCAATTTATGAAATGAAATGTTACATTTGACATATTAATTAAAATTTTAAATTTGAAAATCGTTATCTAAAGGTGAAAATAAAAGTTTGTATGTGTCACGCTTTGCAATTAATCTTTAGTAGGCTCACTGGATTATGGGGCTGGCTCCTGGGTCGCTCACCCCACAAACTTCCAGCTCGCCCGTAAAGATTCATTTACAAAGCTTGACACGTAAATAACTATTTTATGGCCAAATTCCTAAAAATAGGTTTGACCAAATTATGAAACACACTATTGGACAAAAGTAAAGCTTGCAACAAATTAATATTATTAATTAATATTATTTGTTTAATAATACTATATGAGCCCTAACCACATAATGTTCGGACACTTCATAATTTATACAGAAATTTTTTTCGTGAATACTATCTCAAAATTATTAGAAGTTATGAAAAATTCAGCTTATTTTGGCATATACCCCTCGAAGCGATTTTTATTTTTAAAAAGTTTACCTTTTATTTTTAGCTTTTAAAAAAAGGCTAACTTTTTAACTTTTTTTTGCATGAGTAAAAAAAGTTATAAATGGGCCCATTAAAAAGAACATAAAATATTATACAAACCCTGAAAATTTGGTAAAAATTGTATAAATAATAAGAAAGTTATAGCGATATATATATCTGCAAAATCTCCCGTTTCCTAAGAAAATTGCAAAAACTCTTTAAAAATAGCATTTTTAAATTACTTATACTTTTTTATAACTTATTTATTTTTTACCAAATTTTCAGGGTTTGTATAATATTTTATGCTCTTTTTAATGGGTCTATTTATAACTTTTTTTACTCATACAAAAAAAAGTTAAAAAGTTAGCCTTTTTTTAAAAGCTAAAAATAAAAGGTAAACTTTTTAAAAATAAAAATCGCTTCGAGGGGTATATGCCAAAATAAGCTGAATTTTTCATAACTTCTAATAATTTTGAGATAGTATTCACGAAAAAAATTTCTGTATAAATTATGAAGTGTCCGAACATTATGTGGTTAGGGCTCGTAGTATTGGTGGTAAAAATTAAGATAACTGGAAGGTGCAAGTGACAGATAGTGATTTAACTAGCAGTTATCGCGGTTTATAGGTTATATTTGTGTTTGTATAGTGTTGTTTTTGAAATAAATATTGGAGATTTTTTTTAAGTCACGACGATGAACAAATTGTTAAGTTTGTGCAACAAGAGAGAAGACTTGTGCAGTTTTAGAATTAAAAGAACATTTTCAAAATTATGACGATTTTTTTAGATATAGAGGAGGAAATATAAACTTTTACGGATATGTACGTACAAGTTCTACATATTTGTCCACGTATCAAGAGAACAATTTAAACCGATAGAATTTTATTTTAAAAATGCGATATTTTAAAATTAAGATATTTATGTACTTATTTTTATTTAAAAATATACTCATATTCATACCTATAAAATAATAAAGAAGCATAGCAATAAAGTGTTGAATGCGCATGCCATGACTTTAAATTTAACCAATTAAAATGTATCTTGACAACAGTGCTGCCAACCAGTCGAAATTAAAAGGCGCGGTGCTAATCCAGAACTAGTTTGGACAGCCTAAGCATGCGCACTTTACATTTTGAACCCCAAATTTTAAAAAGCGCATGCCTAGGATGTCCGGAATTAGTTCGGGATTAGCTCCGCGAAAATAGCTATTATATATTTCTCTGGTTATTACGAACTATGGCCGTGTCAAATTTGAAATTCATTCATTGGAATAAAAAAAAATTAACTGCATTAAACATTTTTGTATTTATGAAAAAAAGTAAGTCTTTCTTGTGTGACTTAATTTACAATAATTGTAATAAAATAAAGCGGGAAATCCCAGTGGCTTCGACCACAGTTGCCAATTGTCTAAGCAAAAAAAATTAGGCTCAGTCAGGTCTTGGTCGTACTCTTCGAGAAGATTATCAACTTTAGTAAAACTAAATAGTATTTTTATTTATAAATTAATATTTTATAGGAGAAATGGTGAAATATGAATTTAATATTTTAACGAAAAAGCCGTGTTTTTAAATGCACGGCAGTACCATGAAGCCGTTGCCATACATTTGGTCTAAAAAGCCGTGAAAACACGGCAATTGCCGTGACATTGGCAGCACTGCTTGACAGTGTTGCCAATTGCCAAATTACTAAACTGGCAGATACGAAACTTTAACCGTTCGCAGATATTTTTTCCTTAACCATGTCCCGAGTCTGCCCGCTTGCCGAGTCCCGCTGCTTTATCTCGCGCTTGCGAATTCAGTGACTAACGTCTAGGTACAGAAAAATTGCGAAGGTTCGAAACCAACCCAACCGACCCCGCTCCAGCCTTCCCCCGCCCCATTGAACAAACAATTTTTAACGAAGGAATATTCATTTAATTACATATTATATTATATAACTGTAGCAAAATGATTATGAGGAAGGGTAAATAATTTAAAATATTAGTTCAAAATTAAATATCAATGCTTTTAAGGCCACATTGTATTATTTCGGTATATAAATTCTTTAAATATTGATGTTTTTATTTATTAAGAAGTAAGAAGTACTTACTAGAGATGTGACGAACCGTATGTATTCGGTACAAAGTAACGCGTACTGGATGAGGTTTGAAATACCGATTCGTTACTTTAAAATACGTTTCGTTACTTTCATCGCCTACAGGGCTGGATGCTCCCGTGGACGAGTTTTGGTTCGTGCCGCGCATGACGTCACTTGATGAGTAGTTGCCGCGCGAATACTTAAATAATAGTAATATTATCAAAGAAAATATTGTATTATTTTTATGAAGAAGCAAACAATTATTTGAAGAAAGATTTAGAACAAATTACAAGGGCACGACTAGCTTCAGTAGCACTGGAAAATCATAATAAGGATGATAAAAATACACATAATGCTGCGTTTGAAGATGAGAAAGACGATCTTTAAAGGGATTTTGACGTAAGAACCAGCACTATTACAGTGTCTACCGTTGCTACTGGAATCACCATGAGACATTACATTGAAGAGATAATCCTCTTAAATGGTGGCAAATAAGAAATTCTGAACTTGCAGGCTTGGCCAAAAAATACTTATGTGTAATGACTACACCGGTACCGTCAAAAAGAACCTTTTTAAAAAAATATATTATCGGAAAGAGGTTCCTTACTTAAACCAAAACTAATGGAAAAAATTTTGTTTCTTGAAATAAATCAATGATTTTTCTACAAATAAATGTGCAATATATTTTATATACTTATGATTATCATTATGTTTAGAAACTTACTTATTTTTTTGTTAATTTTTCTTACAATAGAAAATGTTTTGTTTTTATTCTTGCAATAAAAAAATATATTTTATTTAATTTGTATTAATAATTATTAAAATCCTCCAATTTAATAAAATATAATCAAAATGTAAGTTTTCTTTAAGCAGCGGCTACATACGATTCGAAATAATAATTAAACCAAACCCTAACCAGCTTAATGCAAAGACTCGTATTTTGTATTATAGCACAGAGTATTATAGTAACGAAAGTAACGAGTAACGAATACTTTGAAACGAATAGTCACATTTAAAGTACCGAATACATGCGGATATTGTTTTTTTCGTTAATTTTACATCTCTACTGCTTATTGTGGTATAGTCGTCGCGGCGAATGTTTGAAATTGCGTCATCAAATTCTGAACCAAGCACAGACATTACAATTGTTGTTGTTTTCTTTTACGTATGTAATCCAAATATAATGTATTATCTTTGATGTAATCCAAGGAACCGCTAGGTTAGGACACAATCACTCGGATCTAAGACGAGTCCGATGTCACGCTCACGCAACGTATGTTAAACAAGGACAGCGCATGTTGTTGGAGACGTGCTCAGCGGCGTTCCTCATTCACATTTAATATTTGTTCTTGACATTGCCATTTATAAATTTCTTTTAATTTAAAGGTTTTTTGCATCAAATAAGGTATTTTTATAGTGAAATTAGTGTTTCAGTATTCGATTTTAGCATAAATCCGTATGATTCTGATCAGAATGCCTGTAAATCGCTTAGATGGGAAACAGCTGAGATTTATGTTTAACTCATGGGCTCCGTAAATCATCCACCTTGGAGGTGGTGCGTGACTTCTGCGGCACCCTGTATAGGAATAGTAATTATTTTCAAAAAACTTTAGGGAATTCTCGTTTTAAATCCGCACAAAATAAAATAATATTATTTTTCCAGTTTGTTGATTTCCTTTTGTCCAATAGTTTAAATAAAAATGTTCTCTTCTAGTATTGGAGGTGGTACATTTTTGGGTTTGTGTTGTCTACTAACTGGTTGTAATTCGTTCGAAGAGGCTATCGAATTGGCAGCCGAAGGTGACCACACGCACGTCGACAAGTTGGTAAGAGACATCTATGGAGGCGATTACGAAAAATTTGGACTACCAGGCGACTTGGTCGCAAGCAGGTAGGATTTTTTTTACTAAATTAAATTTTATTATACGCAACTATAGTTTTTCTCATTTTCATTTGTATTTAAATATTATTTTGTATAATTATACTATCATTACAACCTTATTAAATTTATATTTTTCTTGCATGTTAATAATAATAGATTTTGCATTAAACATATACACTGCCCGTCAAAATTAACGCATAAAGGTATAGACACACATTTCCGCACCGTGCCCGACACGTGAGTCGGCCGATAGTCGGACAACACACGGGAAAAGAATAAAACCATGTAAACCAATGCGTTAGTCCCCACCTCTCCGATTCTACCATAGATTAGATAAAGGATTCTACGCCGGACCGATAGCACACCGACAGTCCGCGCCGTGTCAGACTAGTTTCGTTTATATTTTGACGGGCACGGTGCGGTCTCGTCTCGATTTATAACCTTAAAAATGGAAATTTTAATAGAAGAAATAAGAAAATATTCAGTTTTGTACGATCAAACCCACGAAAAATATCGCAATTGCGATTACAAGGATAGGGTTTGGAAAATAATTGCGACCAATTTAAATTTTGAATTTAAACATTTTGAAAGGAAAGACACGGCGCGGCGTAAACACTTACAAGTGTGATTTCAATGGGACCGAGCCGTAACGAGACCAACACTCGGCCGATACTCATGACGGGCACGGTGCGGAAATGTGTGTCTATACCTTAATAAGTAAAAAACTCTAAAACGCATTTACCAATCTTTATGAAATTTTGTATAAAAATACTTTAACTTATATCTCAGTTTACGTGTTCAAGGGTTTTTCGAAAAAACATCCTTAAAGCCTTTTATTTAATAATAAAAATCGCTCGAAAAAAAACTTTTATATGGAAATTTTTTTTAGTAAATAAAAACTATATTGTAAAAGGCCGTATTTTTGTTTATACCCTGAAAATTTTGTAAAAATCAAACGAACAGTAACGAAAATACAGCGCTTCAAAGTCGTCAAAAATGACAATTTTTCAGCAATATAATCAAAAAGGGGTCATTATTACCGACTTTGAAGCACTGAATCTTCGGTACTGTTCGTTTGATTTGTACAAAATTTTCAGGGCATACTAACAAAAATCGGTCTTTGACAGCATATTTTTTATTTAGTTAAAAAAAATCCCTAAAAGTTTTTGAACGTTTTTTTATTATTAAATAAAATGGCTTTAAAAATATTTTCTCGAAAAACCCTCGAACACGTAAAATGAGATATAAGTTGAAGTATTTTTATACAAAATTTCATAGATTGATAAAGGAGTTTTAGAGTTACCTAGAATTTTTTTACTTATTATGCGTTAATTTTGACGGGCAGTGTAGTATATTTAAATACCTACCAGTGTAGAAGTAAAGTTTGGAGTAAATATTAGTTTGTATAGTCTTAGAAATATGCAATGCATTGCCATGACTAAAATGGCAAAATTTAATTTTTTACATACTTTTATGCATTGTTTTAATAATTTTTTTTGCAATTGGTCCTATTGAAATTGTAAATGTCATTCCCCATATATTTAGAAAAAATAACCACGTTATAATATTATGTACATAATGTGTATATATTATCGTTATTATAATTAAATTTGTACACCAAACGTTGATGTATTCTTATTGCCGCCTCAAAGGTAGATCAATGAATTGATAATAGTATTACATGTTTATTTATTATTTTAAAACTTTGTTTTGAAATTTAACAAAAACTTATATGCAACTTCTGTAAGCGTTAGTGCATACAAAAAAACGTAATCAATTTCCCATCATCACGTTATAAGATGAATTAATCAAATACATTTTCTATACAGCCCATGTATTTTAAGCTAGGTACTAATTTTTATTTAAAAACCAGTCAGATAATCTTACTGAAACTTTGTTAATATGTACTACATCCTATAATTTTTTCAACATTGTCTTGTCATATTTAATATCGTGGCTTTAGTATATTCATTTTACCAATTTTTAGAACACAAATGCACGTAAAGAGCACGTGGACAACACTTATTTAGCGATACAAGTTTTATCGCCCATTGACCAATAGCGTACCGAGCACGAGGTTTTCACTCGCTAATGTTTGTTTATTCTAGGGAATTGGTAAAATAAATATGGGGCTTTCATGCCAAATCGGCCACGAAAACGGACATGTCTCCGATTTGATTTAAATTTTAAGGGTGTACTATAACTCGCGCTACAGAGAAATAGGGGCGGGCTTAAATCAATGGAGATGCCAAATTTAAAAATAAAAAATTTCTAGGTAATAGTGTAAATTAATGAAAACAAAAAAGAAGCAGCTTTGGCCTAGGTTAAATATATATTTTAGCAATTTTTAAAGCCCCTTTATAACCTTTCAAAAAGAAATGTCATACTTCAGGACGCCAATATTTTAAAGTAAAAATTTAACAACTATTTCTCCAGAGGCAAAATCTCTATAAACCACTACAAAATTCCACTCTAGCAGAATTATCTTCTGGCTGCAGGTGCTGCACTCGCGTAAAATGAACGTCCTTCATAACCCGCTGAACTGTGAAAGGGAAATTCGCGTGCAACTTTCCTTATGCTCTTCCTAAAATTTGCATTAAAGGTATTGAATAGTATATTCTGTAACAAGTTTGGAATACGGCATATTCCGCTCGACTAAAAATGTGTCACACGAGCCGAAGGCGAGTTTGACGGTTTCACAAGAGCGAAATATGCAATTCCAAACGTGTTTAAGACCTTTAATTTCGGTATGACGCATCGGGAAAGCGCTGGAAAAAACTCGCCTAGCATTGCGCCTATACTCCCCATAAATAATCATCATTTCGGCATAGGAGAAAAACATAACGTTTGTTTGAAGGTAGTAGAGAATGTGGTGTTTTGATTAGAAACATATTTTTCTACTCCTAATACGGAATTTGACCCTTCTAATATCACTTTTATCTATGGAATGACATATATTCCGTAAAGTGTTACAGAATGAAATATTCTATCATCTGATGACAGAATAAACACTCGTGGCGACATCTCTGTTTTTAATATCTTACAAATTTTAGACCGATCCAACCTCACTTTCTTCCAACTAAATTATTTTTCTATGGTATTTTTTGGAAACGTAGAAAAAGTATAGTCTGAAACACGTTTGGAATTGCATATTCCGCTCTCGTGAAATCGTCAAACTCGCCTTCACTCGAGCGGAATATGCTGTATTCCAAACTTGTTACAGAATATACTATTTTGGACTTCCATTGTCTTTTTTATGATTAATTCACAACGTTTTAATTGCTAAGTATCTGCAATCGTCTTTAGGTGATAATGACAAATTAAAAAAACTACGAGATTATTTATATTATTGGTATTTGTTCCGCTTGATCCGGTCGGGTTTTTTAAATTTTCATTTTATTATAGGCCCTTAAAATTTGAGGCAACTCGTAGACATGTCCGTTTTTGGCATGGAAAACCCCATGTATTTTAGAAACTTTAATAATTTTTAAATCGAAAACCAACCAAACAACCTTACTGAAACTTTGTAAATATCTTGTTACTAGACTCTACTATAACCTAGACTTGTTTTAACATTTTCTTATCTTGATTAACTCCTTAATATATTGAGAATGATAAATGCGATTCCTATTGGACAAAAATCTTTTAAATCATAATAGATATTATAATAGGGTTGTTTTATCCAGACATCAAATGGACGTCAAAATAAGTATTGTGCATGTTCCTGACGTCATTTGACAGTCAAATTTCTTAGTAGAAACGAACCAATTGCATAAAATAAAATCATAAAAAGTATGTTAAAAAATTAACCACTCCGTGGCTGTACACTGTTAGATATTTTTGGACATCCCCTTTCTTATATCACCATTTCGCTTCCGCCCGCCTACCCATCGAAACTCAACTCGACTCACGCACACACAAATAAACACACACTAACGTGTAGTAGTCTGCTCCCGCTTGTTAACTTGTTGCCCTTTCTTCTCTCTATCTATCTCTGTCCACCTGTAACTGTTGTGCGTAACACATTGGCGCCCATTGAAGTTTCTCGGCCTTGTGTAGCTTTGGTCAGATGAACTCGCGCGAGCGGCGCAGCAAGGTGAGCAGGCAGGACTTGGCGCGCGCCACCCTCGTCACCATCACCAACAACATCGGCTCGATCGCTCGGATGTGCGCCACCCAGGAGAAAATCGAGAACGTGAGTATTCGACTATTTAGTCATTTTTTTTTAGAATTTTAAGGTTTATTAATTTTACCAGAAATATTTTATTTCCTATGTTAGATTGTTATACAGGGTGTTCTAACGAAAACTTGTACATTTAAAAAAAAAAGGCCGTCACAATGACAGGTGCCTAAATAACATCTGTCAAAATCAAAGGTGCCAAAATAACGGCTGTAAAATGACAGGTTCCAAAGTGACAGGTGTTAAAACGACGACTGTCAAAATAACAAGTCTAAATGACAGCTGGCAAAATACCAATTGCCAAAATAACAAGTGTAAAAATGACAGGTGCCTATTGACAGCCGTCAAAATGACAGCTGTCTAAATGACAACTGGTAAATTGACAGGTGTCAAAATGACAGGTGCCTTAATGACAGCGTTAAAAATGACAGGTGTCCAATAATGACCGTTATTTTTTCTTAGAATCACGCGAGCGAAGCTGCGGGTATAATCTAGTTCCTTATATTTTAGAAGTGTGAAAAGCGAATTTTTAATGCAAGTGTTATGCACGAGCTTGAAAAATGCTTTTCTCACAGGTGAAACACAATGTATTTTATACATCGAGCAAATAGTATTTTTTTTAGGATTTAAAGCGAATTTTATTTAAAATTTTACCTGACAACGGTTTTAACCTCACTTTTTACCAATCTATGTTTTTTTTCACCTGTCACTTTTTAAACAGACACGTCACTTTTCATTCGAGTTTTGCTTTGCAAATGAAAATATTTAATTTCTTAGCAACGACGTCATACGAAATTTTTTTTAATTTGATTGTTAACATTATAAAAAATAAAACAATAATAATAAATGTTTGGACCGGTTCAAAGCATTTAAACGGCTCCAAACCTCTTGAAAACGGTTCGATCCAAAATTTGTACCAGTCCAAGTCATTTAAAAAACGGGACGGTCCATGGACCGGTCCAGATTTATAATTTGTTTATTTTCGTCACGGACTGGTTCGTAACAAACAAGCGGTTCTTGGACCGATTCAAAACCCTTTATTTATTAAATATATTATAAAATGGCGCACTATCGCTATACCACGCTGTAGGGGTTTATTCTAAGTAGTTTTCGAGTTATTAAGCATTTATAAGTTTAAAAACTTTTCCGATTTAAAAAAACATCTAAAAGGGGTTGTGTTTTTTTTCACTTTTCTACTCAAAAGGGTCAACATTATAGATTGTTTATGTCATTTAAAGAAATATTTTTCATTTGAGCTTGTTTTTGAATTTCCGATCTTCTTTTGTTATTTGTCTTTGTTGGTTGATATTTTTGTTATTAAACTGAGAATTCAAAAAAATTTCATTTTTTAAATTACAACCATAATTAACGGAGATAAAAATGTTTATATAAAAACAAAAAAGGGAGATAATTTAAAAACAAAAGCTCAAATAAAAAATATTTATTTGAAAAAAGTGTTGCTTGATGAGTTGCTTGATGAGTTCTACAACATCTACGTTGTCCCTTTTGAGTAGAAACACCCTGTAAAATGATGCTATGAGTTTTTAATTGCTTTTAAAATAAATAAATAGTTAACATTAAAATAATAAAATTTAACTTTTAAACCCTTTTAAAATATTTCGACCATAAAACTAATGTAATAACCTGATATTCACCCTATTTCCAAAGTATCACAATAAAACAAGACCTAGTTGTGACCATGAAATCACCACAACGTGACCACAAAACCGCTAGGTTAACCACTTCTCTATTTATTATGCGTTAAAGTGTAAAAAACGTACTTTATAGAGCCCAAAACGGATCCTTTTCTATGGTCCATATTTCCATATTTTCATCTTACAGTTTGCTGTATGTTTTGGCCTTTTCGACAATACCTCTCAATGTCTGTATATTCCTAATTTTCTTTCTCCATCTGCTTTTTTTCATTATTTTTAGATCATTATGGTCTTGATCTTCCCATCTTATTTTGGCTTCCCTCTCTGGTCTCCACTCTGTTATTGTTCTTACTACTTCGTTTTAGTATTTTATGTACACTTATACTTTCGCTATATTTTCGTTGTTCTTTTTTTTATCTATTTTAAGATTTATTAGTCTGTGATTCTCTTCTCCTATTCTAACCTATATTTTACTTATAATTTTCCTTTCAAAATATCTTAATTTCTCTTCTTTGCTATGACAAGCAAGGTCTTGCTTCAGAATAGGTTACTACCGGTCTTATGGCTGCCTTGTATATTTTTATCTCTGTTGTTTTACTTATGTTGTAATTTAAAATTACTAATTTTTCATTAATTACGTGAAATAAAAATGGGGGGAGAGGTCTAGCAAAATCTCACCAAATCTCAAGTGTGGGAGGGGGCTGTCATTTAAAATGTCACGTCAACTTTTGATTTTAAAGAATATGTATAATAATTCAAATTTGTTTAAAAAAATTAATCCATTTTTTTAATTTTTTTTGAGGTTTATCATGTCCACAAAGAAAGTTTAATGTCTAGAATCTCACGTGAGGGATAGGGTGGTCTACCATATCTCACCAAGGGGGAGGGGGGTCCAAATTATCAGATAAATTACTAACTTAATTAATGGATTATTTCCTATTTCGGCTATTTGTTTGGCTGTTAAGCCTATTTTATTTTTGTGGGTTTTCTCTAGTACTTGTGTCATAATATGAATTGGGTCTATAGTTGATTTTCCTTGTATAAATCCATATTGGTGGTCTCTTATTTTCTTTTTTATACATTTCTTGATTCTATTATTAATAACACTGTGCTCGAATCGAAAACTTTTTTTTCTAACAAGCAGGGCACCCAGGGGAATTACCTAATTCGAATACGCTAAATCCAATGGTACTAGTCGCTTTTTTAGGTTAGTTCTTGTTTTCGAGAAATTTTAGATTTAAATTGTAGATCCAAGCATCACAAAAAAACATTATATTTCTCATTTTAAAACCATGTACTGATTATAAATTGATAAAAATCGATGAAATAAATGAATAGACAGATACATATTGAAAAGAAACTATTGAAAAAAATTTGGTTGATTTTAAAGTGCTATCTTTATGATTTTTTTCTCTCAAAAAATATACATAATTTTTCTTAAATACAGTATTAAACGTACTAAAATGTTTGGAATACGGAGTGCCAAGTCGCCTTTCTTATGTTTTTTATATTTTTACATATTTGGAATCCTGAGAAAATTTTGATTCAGACAGCATCCTTAAATTGACCTTTTGACGTTTCATCATCAGAAAATGTATCATCATAAAGATCAATCTAGAGTGCTTTGAACTATCTTATTTTCTTCTAATGGATTTACACAATGCCTGAAAAATGGAACTTGCTTTAGAAAGTTGTTATTCGGCTATTCCCAGCAGTCTAAACTTGTCAAAATTCGTTTTTCTCAAATAGTTCAAAGCACTCTAGATGGATCTTTATGATGATGCATTTTCTGATGATGAAACGTCGAAAGGTCAATTTGGGGATGCTGTCTGACTCAGAATTTCCTCAGGATTCCAATTATGTAAAAATATATAGGGCATTCCATTTAAAAATCGAAAGTTGGTATCATTTCCGGCGAAACCGGGAGTTCAAAAAATTCATTTTGTACTCTTATAAGTAGCATTTTATATCCTAATTAACCATGCTAAATTTTATACACATATTTATAAATAAAAAAGTTACAGGGGTGCGCCTATTCTCAGATACACCCGGTATATATACAGTTTTCATAAATTTAAATTCAATAAATGATCTAAAAATGAAAAATAATGTTTTTTTAGTGGTTCTTGGGTCTACAATTTATATCTAAAATATCTCGAAAACAAGAGCTAACCTAAAAAAACGATTAACACCGTTAGATTTTTGAACTAGCACAATGTAATTGTTGTCAGTTTTGTTAAGTAATATTATGCCTCAGTACCACTTTAAGAATCACTTAAGATTATTTACGTGTAATTTTTTTAATAATATTAATTTATTTGCACAACAAATCAAAGCCCAACAACAGAACAAAAATTTAAATATAAAGAGTGGGTCATAACGATTGGCGGGTTTTAACAAATTCTTAAAAACAAACTGTAAATCTTGAATAAAAAATTTTAATTAAAACATTTTAGGGGCACCCTGTTAAATCAAAATAATATCAAGTTTTCTGGTCTGGTCTAATAGAACTCATAAGGGCAAATTGAAATATTTTGTCACACTGTATTAATCGGGGTTTGATATGTTTGAAGCAATTCCAGGTGGTGTTTATCGGCAACTTCCTCCGCGTGAATCCCATAGCCATGAAGATGCTGGCCTACGCGATGGACTACTGGTCGAAGGGCACCATGAAAGCGCTGTTCTTAGAGCACGAGGGCTACTTTGGCGCAGTCGGGTGTTTGTTGCAGTTCCACGAGGATTTAAAAAGTTGAGTGTACGGAGTTTCCGTAATTTTATTATGAACATTCCAATTGGGGGACCAGTACAAAACTACATCTTTTGGGTGAAAAAGTCGGAGGCATTTTTTGTATGTTTTAAGTTGTATTATTTATTTATTTAACAGATTTAACAGAACGGTTTAGTGTCGTGGTGTAAATATACGTACGCAAGGTTTTACCATAATATTACTAAATATTTTCAAATAGATAATAGAAAATTTGTAATATTTACATATGTACAATTGTTATATTTTATACAATACTATATTTTCTTAAGTTTCATGTTATGTTAAAAACATATCCCATGCTACATTAGTTTATATATATTTACTTCAATGTTTTATACAATTTATGTTAATTTTGTTTGAAATGGTTAAATGTGTGTGCTAGTTTTGCTTACTTTTATAATAATAATTATAATTATTTGATACCCGTTTAGAAAACTAGATATAGCACCATGCTATTTATATTTAATAAAGGTGTCGGAAAAAGAAGCACTTTCAAGATGAGGGAATAAGTATAAAATGTTGCACAGTTTAGATGTAATATTTGATTTTTAAGATTTATACTTAATATATATTTTATTTTTACATTCCTGTTTTATTAACCTAATTTAAAGAATACCACAAAAGGTATATTTAGTAAATATTATTTAAAATTTTTGCGGACAAAAAATTTTGGGCACCATTTGACATTCACTGACACAAGTTTTAATTGTGTCCCTACTTGCCCATGAATATGTATCGTTTTGGAGTTATTTTTACATATCATTGCATTATGTTTTCACCCTGCCTTAAGGGGTTATATACCTTTGTGAGGCAAAAAATTAAACGATTTTGTTGTTTTTTTTAGGTTTTTAAACAAACTACAGCATCAAATAGTGTATGGTTTGACTTATTTGTTAAAAAATTGTAAAATGGTGCAAACTACCGCCGTTGCCCCAAAACACCTTTTTTTACAAAGCTCGACGTAATCTTAAAAACAAACACACTCAGGAAATAGTCCTAGTTAAGGGTAAAACTATTTTTTTACTTCTCATATAGAAAGACCATATTAATACTAGTTTAAAAGTTAATTATTATACACCGCCGTACAAAAGTAAACATAGAAATAATACTATTAGTAGTATTGGTATTATTTCTATGAAAATAAAGATAAAATGCCATCTTTTATTTAACCTAAACTAAAAATTATCTTACAAGTCTGTAACTAACAACAAACGCTTGAAAAAAATAGAATTTAAAACTCGGCGGCGAATGCCTCGCACACAATCTACTGCCTCGGCTAGTGCTAAGGCAGTAAAATGTTTGCTAGACTTTAAGCGATATCTCTGCATGGATTATAATGTACTATATTTCTGAATTTTATAACTTACTTACAAATATATATAAGTACAGCAATGTATAATAAAGTATTGTAAGGTATAAGGTATTATACCCTCGGTATTACCTTATATTCTGACAGTAATGTAAAAAATGTATACATTGTATACCGTATTAATGTAAAAGTAAAGTATCTTAATCATGTTTAAAAGTAAAATAACTTAATAATTACGCAATGCGTCCAGCGGACTTGGGCAAAACCTACTATGGAGAAAGGCAGTAACTGCTAAACAAGAAATTTGTGGAAAATTAGCATAAACTACATTTTTATAAAGAGCAGTAGGTATTTAATGGATTTTTTTAACTTATGAGATATTTGACTGCGTTTCTATGTTGAATTCGGTTACAAAATGTCCATTGCTTTACCATAGAAGAAGAAAAAATTAAATACCTGGGTCTCACTATCGATAAAAATCTAAACTGGAAAAGTCACATTAGTCAGCAAAACAAACATCTTTCGATATACAAAGGGCTTTCCCATAAAATATGTAACATACTGCCTAAAAAAAAGGATGATTTACGAAGCCTACATAAAAAGCAAAATAATGTATATGATTCCTTTTTGGGCCACAGGTAATAAAACTGAAATAAGCACACTACAAAGAAAACAAAACAAACTATTAAAAACCTTATACAATCTAAAAAAATCTTCACCAACAAAGGAAGTATACAAAATATCAAACACATTAGATATTGAAGAATTAAGAGAAATGGAAACAATAAAAATAATACTGGAAAAAGAACACATTGATGAACTATATATTATATATATAATTATAAGATCTGAAGTACTATGCTCCACACCTCAAAGTCCCACCACGTGACCACGTACGGAACGCAGTCTTTTGAAAATTTGGCATTTAAGGCTTTCCAGGTTATGTATCTGTCAAAGTATAGTCAATGAAAGAAATAATATTTATAGTCTTACCGCTTATGTTTAAGTTTTAAAAGTTAATAAATCTTTATAGTATCACAATAACAATGGTTGGTTTAAGAATTTAGGAATATAAATACTGCATTTAATGAAATTTCAAAGAGTAAGGTGCAATATAAGTGATATTTTTGTGCATTGGGTCTACATTTCTCCATAAAATAGTTTAAACTAAACAGCATTTATTAAAAAAATCTAACTTCTTTATTATGAAATAAGAATATCTGTATCAAAAGTAGGTTAATGTATTAGAACAAAAAATATCATCCAATTTTGTATTTTAAGGTTAGAAAAATCTATTTTGACCAAAATAAATAAGTGGATTATTTGCAAGACTGTGTTAATATGGTCATAAATAATTATAGGTATACTAAATAATTGTTGAATATGGTTCAAATTAAATTGAAGCTTTTATACTTCTAATGACAAAACTTGTGCATACCTCTCGGCATACCTACTTTAAGTTAGATTATAAGAAAACAAACAATTTAGAGAAACTTGCAATGTGAAAATAATAATAATAATAATAATAATAAACTTTATTGGAAATCCAAAAGGCTAACGACTTTCGTCTTCCTGCCCAATTACAATTTTGTATATTACAAATACTATATTTTAATTTATGTTCTGTAGGTACTTTACAAAAAAAAAAAAAAAAAAATGTTATAATTAAATATATTGTTAATATCTTCATTATTCTTCTGTCAATTCCCTGAGTGAGTCATACAACGATTTCTCTGGGTATTTTCTCCTTGGTGTTGTCTCGAGTTGTGTTTTAAGAATCAAAGGTTCCATCACATTAAGGTTTTCGGGTTTGTTGGCAAATTTTTTCGCTAGGTATTCCAATCTTTCTTGTATGGGTTGTATTCCAGTGATAAGGTAAAGGGCTTCATTAGATGGGTTAAATAAGGAATTTTGAGGATGTCTGATTTTTGTAATTTTCCTTATGCTTGTGCGCTCGCCTATCTCTATGTTTGTTAGGGTGGGTTTTCTGCAATTTATAAAAAGAACTGATCCATATTCCAGCACTGGGCGACAGATTAGTTTATAAATGTTGGTTGCCACAGCAATATTTATTCCCTGGTCTTTATAAGTTAAGCTTCTAAAGTGCTTGGCCCTGTTTATAATACATGTCTTGGTGTGGCTTGTGTGTTGTTTGAAGTTTAACTTGGTGTCTATCAAAATTCCCAGGTAACGACATGATGTTGATGGTTCTACTGTACTTTGCATAATATTTATTGTGGGCGAATTTTCTTTTATTTTGTGATGGAACAGTAGTAGGCGTGATTTTGACGGACTTGGTAGGATTCTCCATTTAGACATCCATGACGATACCTGATTGGTTAGTTCTTGTAGTTTCACCGTTGCTTCAGTTGTCGTTTTTCCATGCGTTATCAAAACTGTGTCGTCAGCATATTGGAGAATATAGCTCTGTCTGTTTATGTTTAAGTGGTCCAAATTGTACATGTCATAACAAAATAAATTATACAAGAACGGTGATAATGGTGAGCCTTGTGGCACTCCTTGTTCTGGTGAAAAGGTGGGGGATAGTGTATTGCCAATTTTTACTTGTATTTTCCTTTGTGTGAGAAATTCTTTTATTATCCATACCAAATAATTCGGGCTTTCCAATTTCACCAATTTTTTCAGCAACCCATCGTGCCATACGGAATCGAAGGCTTTACAAATATCCATAAACAGCGCAGTTGATTTATTTCCCTCTATACTCTTCTGTTGTACATTTGATGTTAAGACAATTAGTGGGTGAGTAGTGGAAGTTTGTCTCTTGAATCCAAATTGGTATATTGGGATTTTATGTCCAATGGCCTGTTCTAATCTATTTTTGATTATTTTTTCAAAAGTTTTTCCGACAACTGGCAATAAGGTGATGGGCCGGTAGTTGCCTGGGACAGTGTGATCCAAGTTCGGTTTAGGAATGGTAATTATTCTTCCTTTCTTCCATTCTTCCGGAAAATAACTATTATGCAGGCAGAAGTTATAAATTCTTATTATTTGGTCATGGATTTCCTGGTCAAATTGCTTTAAAACCATTCTAGGAATTTGATCATGCCCTGGTGCCGTATTCTTCCCGTTCAAACTCTCGAAATATTCGTCTTCAGTTACATTTTCTATATTTTCATTTAAGTTTCTTTGAGTAAAGTTATCTCTTACCCAGTTATGTGTATTATTTTTATAATTTCCATCAAAACTTACATTTTCCGTAAACTTAAAATTTTTTTCGAATTGTCTTGCAAAGGCATCAGCAATTTCTTGCTCTGTTTGTAAGATTTTATTGTCTTCTTTTATATAGTGAATGTGGTTATCTTTTTTATATCGAGAGAGTTTCTTTATTTCACCCCAGTATGACCGACCCTTTGCTACGTTGATATTTTGGCATGCTTCTAGATATTTATCTGCCCTATATTGTAGAATTAATGTATGTATATCTTTATTTAATTCGTTGTATTTTCTTTTAAGTATAGGGTCGTAATTAATTTTTATCTCTCTATATAGTTGTTTCTTTATTTTAATTAGTTTTATGATGAATGGTGGTAATGTATGTGCAAAGAAGCTTGTTTTTAAAATAGGAGTATGTTTTAGAGTAATTTTGGTGATATTTTTTAGAATATATTTAATACTTCCATGACATGTGATTTATTAAATTTTTTAAAGTTATAATGATTTTTTGATGTAGATCAAATTCAGTCGAAGCTTTTTAACTATTTGTATTGACAAAACTTTATGTAGGTACACTTTAAGCTGGATAAGGAAAACTACCACATTTTTAAATACCATATTATACAGGCTTTTAAATAATCCAAAATACTTATTTATTTTGGTCAAAATAAATTTTTCTAACCTTAAAATTACAAAATTAGATGATATTTTTGTTATAATATATTAACCTACCTTTAAAACAGATATTCTTATTCCATAATAGAGAAGGTAGATTTTTTTTAATAAATGCTGTTTAGTTAAAATTATTTTATGGAGATGCAGATATTTGGACCAAATGCACAAAAATATTACTTATTTGGCCCCATACACTTTAGAATTTCATTAAATGCAGTATTTATATTCTCAAATTCTTAAACCATCCATTGTTATTGTAATGTTATAAAGATTTATACATTTTTAACTCCTCAACATAATATTATTTCTTTCGTTGACTATACTTTGACAGATACCTAACCTGAAAAGCCTTAAATGCCAAATTTTCAAAAGACTGCGTTCCGTACGTGGTCACGTGGTGGGACTTTGCGGTGTGGAGCATAGTACATGGAGACATGGCAAAATCAATATACCAAGCTCAAAGAACAAAATAGGACAAAAACGAATACTGACTGAAGATGCCAGACTCTATAATGATATACCAGAAGAGATCAAGAACACAAAGAACTAAGTTTAAAAAAACAATTAAAAAAATTCTTTATTATAAACAAGGCAAATCACCCTAATTTATATTATTTATACTATTTATTGCTGTTATTTAAACATCTAAATATATATTATTGCTAATATAACACATATCTGTCAAAGTTCTTGTAACTATTAAGATATTATTCTCAATAAAAATAGCACAAGAAACCGCATTTTGCATTTTTTGCAGTTACTGCCTTTCTCCATAGTAGGGCAGTATAATAGTACTCATATGAGTCGCCAAAATGGCTTCCTCAATGCATTATTTTAAAATGTAATAATATTTAGTTATAACTATAGTTATTTACTTAATAGCGACGCGTGCGGAAAATAAGTACAATATTTTTCTACAACCACTATGTAAAACGCCAAATTAAGTAAATTACTGATTAGAACTGCAGTTGACATGTCAATGTCAAATTTATAAAATTCTAAAAATGATAATTCATTTATTACCCAGACAACATTCGTGATATTCATACGAACATCATGTCGTGATTTTCACAAATTTTATTCATACTGATATCATACGGAAGTCACCGCGTGATAAATAAAAATCATACGAACGTCACGTCGTGATTTTCACAAATTTTATTCATACGGACATCATCCGGATGTCACTGCGTGAGAAATGAAAATCATGTCGTGATTTTTTATGCCATCGCTGTTTGCGATTGACCGATGCATGGCCTAAAAAATCATGTCGTGATTTTTTATGCCAACGGTGTTTGGATAATCATTTTTGCCAAGAGAAAAATTATGTTTAATCAACAGTTTTTTGCGGTTAAATACATTTAATATTTTCTTGGATTTAAATTAACTATATATAGTTAATTTAAATCCAAGAAAATATTAAATGTATTTAACCACAAAAACTGTTGATTCAATATATATGGGGGTATACTTTTTCTCCGCGAATGCGGCGCAAAATTAAATATCCAAACACCGATGACATAAAAAAATCACGACATGGTTTTTTATGCCATCGGTATTTGGTCATAAAAAATCACGACATGATTTGGTCATAAAAAATCACGACATGATTTTTGCCATCGGTGTTTGGATATTCATTTTTGCGAAACATTTGTACATTTAAAGAAAAAGTATGTTAACAATTGAATCAACAGTTTAACATTCAATATTTTCTTGGATTTAAATTAACTATATATAGTTAATTTAAATCCAAGAAAATATTCGCAAATATCACACCGTGAGTTCTACATGATATCACTGTGATGAAGCATGTACTAAGGATATTACAGCGTGATAAAAAAAAATCACGTTGTGATATCATTATGACTTCACCAGGAAATCCCGATTGTTGTCCGGGTATTTATGGGTCAAGTGGTAAAGCAATTACGTGCTTCCGCTCGTACGTAAATTGCTATCCCTACAACTCTAGTTATATAAACTGCACACCTTTAGAAAAAATAGATTTTTTAAACTGCTACTCTTTGGTTCAATATTCCAGGTGCCATCAATATACAAGCTTTCTTAAATCTAAGCAATTTAAAAGTTGCTGGCACATCTAAATTTGAAATGTAGTAAAAAAACAGAAGTTTACATCAACAACATTCCACAATTAAATAGTGTTTAAAAAAGAGGGATCCAAATAAGTATACATTGATAATATATTATAAAAATTTATATTAAATAAAATATTACAATAAAACTCCAACAGAATTTCAAATTAAAGTTACAAAGTTTTGGAATAATCAATAGATTTGCCAAAATAAACTGAAAAATCCAGGACATTGACACCTTGGTCAATTGCTGTAAATAAGTACTTTGAATCGAAGGAAAGACTGTATACTGGGGAATTTCTTTTGGAGGTGAAGTATATCTAAAAAATAAAAATTGTAATTAGATTTTTTTTTACATTTATCCTGTTTATTTAAAGGCAATAATTTAATAAATAATTAATATTATACTTTATATATTATTTATTAAGTTTCTGAACTGAACTAACCTGTACACAATTTTGCTGTTGCCTTGTGTCCCACAACGCAACTCTCGAATGCATCTGGGTTCCAGCCATTACAGTGTTATTAAAATCCAACTCCATACAGTAAAGTGGTACCCCAAAGGGGTCCTTAAAAGATTGAACACAAGAATTCAGCCTTAGATCCCATCTGCTTACAATTCCATCATAACCACACGACCATACGCATTGAGGAGACTCCCATTTTATATCGAAAACGGCAGCCCCGATACCTCCAGGAGATAGTTTCTCCTCTGTATTCCTAGAAAGTGAAATACATTTTTTATTTAAATTTTATTTCTTAGCTGGGGGACATTTTACGCATTGTTAAAATGAAGTATTTGTTAAAAAAAAAATTTCAGCATGGACTAACTTTTGTACATCAAAAAGGACAAGGGAGTGAACGTTTTCATTTCCAGAGGTTCCCACAGCAACTATGGATTTATCTTCAAGTAGAGCACAAGACCATATTCTATCAAATATAATTTGGTTTTCTTTTTGCAATAAAACTCCATTTGTGTTTTGCCATATTGAAAAAGAATCATCATCACTTCCTGATACAATAAGTGTACCATCATTTGATATATCAACACAGTTTACATGACATTTGTGGCAATTTTTCATATCAAAAATGAATGCTTTATTTTCTATGGACCAAAGAGATATACTTCCATCCCTACAATGATATATATGTATATTAAATTATCTTCTATAACAGTCACTTTAGGTTCCATCTGCAAAAAAAATTGCATTTGATTAGCTTTTTATGTTCAGTTTTCATTGAATTTCTTACATATTGCTTTTAAGTCAATGAAAAATAAAGATATTTAAAAGAAAAAGCTATCAGACAATTATTATGTAAAAAGAGTTTATAACAGTTTATTCCACGAATATAGTGCATTTTTTAAAGCTTTAATTTAATTTTATTTTTAAAATATTTTGATTTTAAAACAAAATTTTTTAAAATCTTTTTTTTACTTTTATTTTATTGTATTTTAGTTGTGCATTAGTGATGTAACGAATGTCGATTTTCCCACACGCGAATGCGAATGTCGAAGGTATAAGCAGAGTCTGCTTAGCAGACGTCAGCACAAAATGGTAATTAGTGTTGCTAGTGGTGAAAAAAGAAAATTTAATCTGTGTATCAAAGATTCTGTCAATTTTCCCAGTTGTGTTCTTACTCCTCGTGTTTGTGGCGCTCACACATCTAAACAAAGCCTATCTTCTTTTTTAGTTATGTTTAAAAATGTCCCAATTAATGTAAAAAATATTAAGACATATTTATTTAATCCCTAAAGGGTTTTTGTCGTAATCCAAAAACTCAAATAGAATACAAGAATACCTAACACAGTTTTGAGTGAATTCTAATTTAAATTGTATTTTCCAAACAATTGTGATCCAATGATTCAAACGCATATTATAAATTTCAACAGTTTATAACAAATTGATTGAATTACAATTTCACATTTTTTCAACCAACCAACCATATTATATAACATTGTTTTTTATACCTATAATTCCTTACCTGAATAAAAAGATATCTTTATTCTTTTATTAAAGTAGGTAAATAATAAAAATTTTGCTTTTTTGTTAATACCCATGCATTTTTGAGTATGCAAAATGTCAAAAATCATTTGAATATTTTTATCATAACTCTTATTTATTATTATTTTAACTACATATCAGTTATTATTTGTCCACAGGCTAGCTAGCTTTAAGTTAAATTGGAAAAAAGTGAGCTTAAAACAGTTCAAGAAATGTCCCCTTCTAACTGCAATTTTTAACGTATAAAAAATATAAAGAAAATCATTATACTTTGATACAAATGTTCTTAAAAAATAATAAAGAAAGCTAAGAAAAATAATTTTTTCTTCAGATTTCTATAATCCCTTAAGTGACTGAGGTATTTATGTCATCAAAATGTACCTTCTTCCTAAAACTATACTATTGTCATTAACTTTAAACTTAACAATATCAGCATTGTTATTTTTGTTTCTGATAATATTCGACTTCAAATATTTTGAAAATCGATTTTTCTTAAATTCATGTATACAACCATCTTGGCTTACCCATAAAAACTTTTCATTCATTTGAAGCCATGGCATATATTTCTTACCACTTACTAAAAATGAAGATTTTTTAAATTTTCCGTTAATCCAGTTTTTCTCAATACGAATTTTCTCCAAAATGTTTAAGTTATGTTTTAAATGAGATCTGTAAAAAAAAATTCAGGATAATCAAGGGTTTTTTAAAGGTGAGTGATATTAATACAGTTATCAATAGAAATAATGAGTCAATACAGGAGACTTAACTTAAGTTATTTAAGGTTCTTTTTTAATTGGACATTAATATTTTTAATAAAAACTGTAACATTATTTTTAAATCTTAATTTATATGGATTTACCTTTGTAATATTCTCTGATCTTTTTCGTTAGTTACAAGAGTATCAGGTCGTTTAACAATAACGTTACCCCAAAAATTAATAATCTCATTGAAACGCTTGCAACTTTTTCTTAACCTACACAAATCGCAAATGGATACATATTTAAAAATTTGCAACAAAATTTCTGTCGATAAGTCATCTATAGTAACCGAATTCATTATACAAAATGGGCAAATAGGTAATGTAAATTATTACAGCTGAGAACTACATAACCTCAAAACTACAGATTTGACAGTTTTTGAATAGGCAACCAAGCGTTTTATTACACTGAGGGACATTTAACTATTTTTATATGCAAAGAAACACGAAAAATGTACAATACGTATTATTAGTAGTGATGTGCGAATTCGAATTAAAAATAACCTGAACGTACGTATTTGAGCAGATTATTTTTAATTCGAATTACGATTATTCCAATAATCGGATTCAATACGTAAAGGGTGTCCCATTAAGACCGCCTATTTTAAAATTAAAAAAAAATGCCGTGTTTATTTAAAAAGTTAAGATATTTTTATTGCAATAAAGAGGGGAGACATGGAGGTTAAATGTGGAACACAATACCCGATAAATGGCCGCCTCGTGACTGACGGCACACGTTGATTCTTTTGACAAAATTTTCGATTACATTTTGGCATAGTGCCGGCTCAATTTAATCAATGACCCGTCAAATCTCATGTTTTGGTTTAGGAACTGTTCTTAGGTTATTAGCATAAACCTTTTCCTTCAAAAAACTCCAAAGAAAGAAATCTAACGGCGTCAAATCGCATGGTCGGCCTAGCCACATCACATCCTCGCGGCGCGAGATAACTCTGCCTTGAAATTTTGTCCTCAATAATTTCATGGTTTTGTTGCTGTGCATGGTCTGCTGTCTTTAAATATTGTGTTAACCAAATCTTGTACGCATGAAAATGCAGGTATTTGGCCAAAATTCGCTGTAAACTGCTTCGGGAGAGTCTCAATTGCTGGGAACGGTGGCGAATTGAGGTGGAAGAATTATGTTCAACACTTTTACTAACTGCTGCAATATTTTCAGCAGACCGAGATGCACGAGCACGGACATGTCTCTTTTTGGTTTGAATTGACCCAATCGTTTTAAATTGCTCGATTAATCGGACCACAGTTCGGCGAGAAGGTGCGATATGGTGACCGAAAAATTCACGATATCTTCAAACCGTTTCCGAAAAATTCTCACCATTTCGATTTTGAATTTTTACAATTTCTATGCATTGTGCGGCCATGTAAATCTCCATGACTTAACCTCAATGTTCACACATGACCACTGTTCAACAACAACGCTGTACGATTAACACAAAAAAAATGACACTGAATTTAAAATAGGCGGTCTTAATGGGACACCCTTTATTAAAGTCACTTCTTATCGCGTTTTTTCTTCAAGATCAGTTACTACTGTATACAGTAGTGCCGAAAATGACCCTTACAAACCAATTGAAACCAACATGAAATTGAATAGGTTTTTATGGGGTTGAATCCGGTTGATGGGTATCAAATGGGAAGCAAAAGATTCGTCTATTGGTATGAATCTGTAATCCCACTTAGAGTTTAAATCTATAGGTTTCGTTTGGTTTCTTTTTGGAAAAAAACGTATTTGGATTTCCCAATTCAATACCCAGTGAACCAAACCGTGACTTATGACCTAAAATTTACGTAACACGTAGATCATATCTAGGTAATACAATTTTTACGTCATAGTGACATAATACTGACCCAAAACGTGACTTTTATATGATGTAATTAAATGACTTACATATTACGTACATCTTATGTAATATTAAAGTCATATCGTGACGTAACATTAAAGTCACTTTTTTTACGTAAGACTGACATAAGAAATCTGTCATAATATTACATAAGTTTTAGGTCACTGTCTTACGTAAGACTGACGTAATAAATCTGTCATAATATTACCTAAGTTTAAGGTCACTTTCTTACGTAAGGCTGACGTAAGAAATACGTCATACTATTACATACGTTTTAGGTCACTTTCTTACGTAAGACTGACGTAAGAAATCTGTCATACCATTACATAAGTTTAAGGTCACTTTGTAAGGTAAGACTGACATAAGAAATCTGTCAATGAATGGACTTTTATTTTCAATGAATGAAATAGGCAAACATAATTTTTATTTTTTATTGATTGAAATGGTTAATTCCAATCATTGAGTAAAATAACGTAAGTAAATTCTATTAATTGAAATTGACGCTGATTATTTTAAACAATAAAATCAGTGGATACTTTTCCTTAACATTAAAATACAGAAAATTTCATATTTTGAAATTACTTTTGCATCTAGCATGATGAAAGAAATAACGCGAAGTTCCTTGAATTTTTTGGCTACTTAGTACTTGGTCGATTAAATGAAAATATGTTTTAAAATTAATCAAAAAATAATGTATCTTAATTTAATATGTAATAAACATCATATAGATTTTTATGATTCCGGTTCCTACTGCTTTATGACGTAAAAAATTTTGAAAATAGCGTCGTACTTTCAAAAGTACACATTTTATTCAATGGTCATGTGAAAAATCATGTAGGTACTCATAATCATGGTTGCAAGTACTTGCAAGTACCTACCTACTTATTTTTTAAATTGTAAAAAATTATCAACAAAAGATTTACGTGTTATTACGTGTTAACGTGTTATTTTTGTATTGTATGTTACTGTTATTATTTTTTGAAAATGGCGCTTTTGGTGAAAGTGGAATTTTTTTGTTCCACCCTGTACAATCGAAAAAATAACTAGTTACGCTTTAAAATACCTGAAATGATATTTCACTCACTTCAAAAAAATGTGACCTTGGCAGTACGACGTCATTTGTTTTTTTTTAATCCATGCATGTCAAAAAATGTTACCTATAGCTATAGCTACCTACTCATAAAAAGCGATTTTTTTTGTTCTTATTTCTAAAATACCCCTGTAAAGAATCTGAAAAATTAGTAGTTGGTTCAAAATCCATTGTGAGTTGGTTTTGATCAGCTTCATAAATTAGATAAAGTATCAGCTTGCAATAAATACCTTTTCGATAATGATTCCATTTCCCATTGAAAAAAATGTGACCTTTTGACAGTACGACGCCATTTTAGAAATTGGTTTAAGTCAAAAAGTAGTACCCAGAGTACCCTTGTCTCTGGTAGTACCTATATATTTAATGCCTTGTTTAACATACTAAAATTTCAATTTCCAAATACAGAGGTACCATGGGGAAAAATCGTCTAAAGACGATCGTCTTTAGACGCGAATTCGTCCAATCGTCTTTCAAACGATCGACTTTCAAACGATTCAAGAATTCTTCATTGATAAACAAATTTTATAATAATATTATAATATGGTCCGGTTATTGTGTTTCAGACAAATAAGGGTAAAGTTGTCAAATAACATTGATATATTAATTGTTAACAGTTGCAATATGCAGTAAAGGTTGCCTATGATAAGTAGGTATCTACTATAATATAGTAGAAATCTACTTATCATAGGCAACCACTATTGCATAATACATCTCGCTTATGTGGCACTATTCGTTAAGTATATAAGTTGACACTGGCTGCATTGCAATTTGAGATTTAGGAATCCGAACCTCGGCAAATAAATGAGTCACGAATTGTGGCCCAAGATAAAATTTAGCTTTTTCACTGGAATTCTTGGCGATCCGTGGCTAACCCACAATTTACTCATTTGGAAGAGGGAACTGGTTTCAGCCTAGTGAGCTGTTTCCAGTATTCACTTATTTTGTGGCAAAATTTTTGCCCCATGATGAAAAATAAGGAAGGGGCTTCGTCATTCTAAGGTCATATTTATGTCACATTTATTACGTAAATATTATGTAATGGTATGATGTCAGTGTTACATCAAGATGTTTATGTCATATTTATGTCATATTTATTACGTCAGAGTCTGACGTAAGGAAGTGTGAAATAATGACTCTTGTATGACTCAAGTGTGACCTATATCTTACGTAAGCGTGACTTGACATGACGTCATATTTATGTAATATTTACGTAATTGTGTTTACTGGGTATAAAGCGTGTTTGTATGGGGAATGTCCGAATTATTCCCAACTGAATGCATTTTCTTATGGTGTCCTTTGGTTTCTTTTTGGAAAGACCCCTATTTGGATTTGCCAATTCAAAACAATCAGTGTTTTTATTGGGAATTTCCGATTAATTTCCAACTAAATGCTATCGTTTCGTTTCTTTTTGGAAAAAACCCGTAGGTACCTATTTGGATTTCCAAATTCAATACAAAACGTGTTTGTATGGGAAATTTCCTATTAGTTACCAGCTATTTCTTACGGTGTCGTTTGGTTTCTTTTTGGAAAAACCCGTATTGGGATTTCCAAATTCAATAAAAAACGTGTTTGTATGTGGAATTTCCGATTAATTCTCAACTAAATACAATTTCTTAGGGTGTCCTTTGGTTTCTTTTTGGAAAATCCTGTATTTGGATTTCCCAATTCAATACGAAATTTTGGTGTAACGAAACGTGTTTATATGGGGAATTTCCGATTAATTAAAGTACAATGATTGGACGCAGACGGTGGCATATTATAGCAACTGTGGCGCTGTTAACGTCACGTGGTCTGTATGGAGGGGATCCTTGTCTCCCACGTACGACGCAGTTAAACGACGCAGTTGTTTCGTGTTTCCGCCATTGTTTTAGGTACGCTTAAGTTCTGTGCATAGAAAAAGTGTCTGTGTCTGTGTAAAAAACAACTAAGAAACTATAGAAAACATTTTAATCATGGTAATATTTAAAATGTCAAATTCTATAACTTATAATTAAAACACCAATTGTTTTAGCCCTTTGTTTATGTAAAATATGTTAAGGACAACGTGGTCGCCACTGTAACACCAGGGAAAATAAAACGGTTTAATATAAACGATTACAATCCCACTAAAACATATAGTGTTCTTTATCAAAATGAATACTATAGGGCATACATAATTAGTACAGGTGGTAAGTAGTAAAATACCTATCGTATTATAATTGTTTAATTTTGTTTTAATTAGTTCAATACAACAATGTACATTTGCTTTTATATAAAAGAAAAAGTATATATATATACTATAGTAGGTACCTAGTATATCTTATCTTCTACGAAATTCAAAGATACAGGGTGTTCGGTTTTCATTGGGACGATACCAACTTTCTTATTTTCAATGTAACACCCTGTATTTTTTTGCATTTTTGGATTCTACACACTCTTTTAGGTATACTTTGTAAATATATTAATTAAGAAAATGTTAATACTTTTTTTAGTAAAATTAGGATTTATTAAAATGTAGACATTCGCTAAAAGTTAAAAATAACCAACTAAAAGTTATTATTTTTTATATTATGTAGTATTCATCTCTTTAATAATAAGTAAGATATTAGTTAATTAATTTATATTTTGGAAAATATTATACAGGGTGTTTTCTTTGAATAATGAAAATTTAACTAAGCTGTTTTTATTCAATGGAACTCCCTATATATTTTTGCATAATTGAATAGAATAAGTAATTTCCTTTCTTTTCATATATGTATGTCGTATACCTAAATCTAATATAAAAAAAATATTCGCATTTTTACAATTATAGTAGCTACTAATTGTAAAAATGCGAATATTTTTTTTTATATTAGATTTAGGTATACGACATACATATATGAAAAGAAAGGAAATTACTTATTCTATTCAATTATGCAAAATTATATAGGGAGTTCCATTGAATAAAAACAAGATTTTAAACTTTTAAAATCGCTATTTTCAACGGGGCATAGAAAACACCCTGTATAATATTTTCCAAAAATTACATTAATTAATTAACACCTTGTATTTTTTTTCATTCGCTAAAAGTTAAAAATAAACAACTAAAAGTTATTATTTTTTTTATATTATGTAGTATCCATCTTTTAAATAATAAGTAAGCTATAAGTTAACTTATAGCTTACTTATTATTTAAAAGATGGATACTACATAATATAAAAAAAATAATAACTTTTAGTTGTTTATTTTTAACTTTTAGCGAATGAAAAAAAATACAGGGTGTTCCATTGAAAATAAGAAAGTTGGTATCGTCCCAAGGAAAACCGAACACCCTGTATAAATAAAAATATAATATTTTAAAAATATTTTTTACTTCGTGAATATTTGTTTCTTACAATTTTTAGTGACTTCTGTAGTTTCTGAGATAAGTATATGGGTCACCTTACGTGGACCACCCTGTACCTATGTATTTTTAAAAATACCCATGGGTAAGGCAGAAATACCTTAGTCGATAGCCTTTTGGGTTTTCCAATAAATATATTTACTCTTAGGTACTACCCATGGGTATTTTGCAACGTCTGAACTAAAATTCATATAATTGGGTCACAAATATAATTCAAGTGTAACTTTTTAGAAACTGAAGAGGAGGCAATTAGAAATGGAACTGCTAAAAGATTTCGAATGCCTAACAAACAGAAGCTTTTAGATGAACTAGAGTACAGTACTGTGGATGAGGATAATACAGTGAGTACAAATTTAGATAATATTGCTTTTTTAAGTCGGGGTTTGTAGATTACTCAGGAAAAGTCCGAAAAGTCTTGGAATTTAATAATTTTGGATAAAATCGGGTTTACTTTTGTCAAGGATGTGATATCCCTAGCAATTTCGGAAATTATGTGAAATATTTTTTGTCGATTGTCTGGCAATTTTCAACAATATTTTAGGGTGGTTAAACCCTCGACTTTTGTTTTTAATTTTTTTGTATGCTTCGAAGGGGTGAAAAAGTGTCAAAATTGCGCAGTTTAATTGGTGCATTTGTTATTGGTATTTTATTTAACCGTTGTTTTTCATAGTATTTACGCGAAAAAACGACTTAATAGTGACTTACATATTTCTTAAATTACTTACAAAAAATCGTATAAATATATTACATGAACATATCCGCCTACTAGATAAATTCCATTAACTAATAATATAAATTTACTTAAATAATTAAAATTATTTTCAAGTAAAGCCTGATTTATAGATTGCCTCTTCCTTCATCCCTTCCTCCTGTAAAAAAATAACAATACGAAAACCGTAGTGGTGTTTATGGATTCCCGTACCCTAATCTATAAGCAGCACTACGGTTTTCGTATTGTTCATTTTTTACGGGAGGAAGGGATAAAGGAAGGCAATCTATAAATAAAGGTGATACCAGAAAATGTGCCATATTTTTGTCTGTGAGTGTATTTCTCTTCAGTTATATCATATAACTTATATGAAACAAATTGTATTACTTAAATTCCAGGATGAGAAAGCAGCAGTTCCCCCCAAGAAAAAAACGAATAAAACCGCGGATGCAATAGGTATAGAGAACTACATCAACGTTATTGGTGAACAAAGCTGTTCTGTTAGAAATGAGGTTAGAACCTTAAAACCAGAGGCCAAGGAAAACAATAAGCTGCAGTTGGAAATTAATGAGCTAAAAAAAAAACAAAAAGAATTTGAAAAAGAAATTAAAGATCTAAGACAACTGAACAGATCTTTGCAGTTGGAAGTTATTGATGTTATGAAAGGTATGGAAAAATATTATTAGACAGGTATAATTATTGTATAAAACAAATGTTTTTTAGAATTGGTTCTTACAAAGTTTGTAAATCAACAAGAAGAGAAGGAAGTAGCTGTAGGCGATAGGGTAAATGGAAATGTAAGTAATATAATTAAAACAAATTTGTTTTTCTTCAATTTAATATTTCAGGTCTATTTAGGTAGAGATGTCTGGTTGCCCTGCCAAATATACGATTCAGCTGCCAGTAAAGCAATCAGAAAAGACTACTCTTTATTCATAAAAGAAATAGCTGTTGCTGTTTTCGGGCAAAACCTCTTAAGCCAATCTTCGGTGACAGGTATTGCTAGCAATAGAGTCAAGGGACCAGCGAAACCCCCACTTGACAGCACAAAGATAATGGCTATTCATGGTAGGTATTTAATTTTTATTTTATCTGATAACATAATTCAATTTATGCTTAGATGTAAAGCCGGTACTTGTGGAGCAGTTCTTTTAAAGGCAATTAGCAAATATATATGCTACTGACTCACCGGCAATAGCGTATTTTTTGTACATCAAATATATTGGATCAAACTTTAATGTTGTTAAAAAAATACGCTATAGCGGGTGAGGCAGTAGCAAATATATTTGCTAACTGCGTTTGAAAGGCAATCGGCCAACCGATTAAATCGGTAGGCCGATTTTATCGGTTGCTTTCAATGCAATATTTCTTACATTAATAAAAATATAATTTTCTTTATAATTCTTATAGATATAGTCGCGTTTAGAATGAATGAACGCGGGGAACCGCCTGAAAGGATTCAAGCTGTAACAGGCAACATAAATAATAGAATAGCTGAAAAAATACAAGACATTCTTAGGCCGCCAAGACAACCAGCGCAAAAACAAAAAGGTGAGTTAAATAAAACGCAACAGTGTCAAAAATACGTTCTTACATTAAGTTTTACTATATATATATATATACATATATATATAACTTAAATTGATCAACTAAACTTGATCCGTGAGAACCCGCCTTTATATTATCCCTGGAGTTTTGAAAGCTAGCAAAAATACTTTGCCAGATTTAAATTCCCCTTAAAAAAATAAAAATGTCTGAATTAGAAAAGGCTACCTTCAAGCTTTTTAAATAAAAATAAATAAAAAAATAAAAAGTACAAATTCTCGTTTTTTGCGATATCTCGAAAACTAAAAATGATTAGTCAAATTTCTTTTTAGATCATTTATAGGCATGAACATTCGTAACTTTTTTCTAAATTCATGGACCCTGTAGCTCTTCAAATAAAAAAGATACCCATGCTTAGCCTCAAAAAACGGATATATTAAAATATAATTTTAGGTATTGAAAATATTAAGATTTTAAAAGTTGTAAACGTCATAGAGAATGAGGAAAACGTCATTGAGAATGAGGAGGTCGTCGTTAACAGTAACGAGGACAGTAGCGAGGATACGCCAGTTTTGACCACCGTCAATAATCAAAACAACAAATTGTACCAGGAAAAATGAGTAAGTAAATATAAATAACCATTAGTGCTTGCAATAAATAAATTAATTTTAGGGCTAAACACAACTACTAGGGAGCAAAAAAATATTTTGTTTAGTTTAATGTTTTATTTTGAATGATATTTTATTTTTAATATATTTGGGGTTTTTAATAAAATATAATTGTTTTATTGAACTTCATTTTTGTTTGGAAAATGACAGATGTAAGACTTCTCTCCAATGTTTACATAAATACATTTTCTTGTAAAATGTTCAATTGGTATCATATGTTCATATTCGCTTAGAGATTCTACTTCAAAAATATGAGGCAATTGAACATTTTCGCACATTAACTTGTAACAGTTTACATTTTTCACATACATATAACTAATTTTATTAACTACAATAAGTTTTAAAACTTGTACAATATCTCCTGTGTTAATTTCCACGTAATAGTCACTTGTTCGTTTAGCTCTTTGATATTCTATAGTATGAATTAGGGTTTTATTAAAAATACATCTTTTATAAGAAATGCCACTGGTACTTGACATACCAGAGCTGCTATTTAATTCCAAATTGCGGTGCAAAGTTCCGTGCCCTAAGAATAACACATCGTTCGATTTTGTGACATAATTCAGTCGGTTTTCAGTGTATAAATTTATACTATAAATCTTAGCATTTTCAGTTAAATCCTGATTGTTGCTAATTTTCGTAAAAAGCGTATTTAAGTTGTACATTTTTTTGGAAATTTGTTCGGTTACACCGTTAGGGCCATTAACCTGTTGTTTAATGTTAAAAATACGTGATTCAAATGGGAACGTGCTAGTAGCCCAAAGTGGTCCTGTACGTTTCACGCTTTCACTTATATGGAGCAGTGAATGTACATTATATGTCATGGAACTTACACCGTAATATTTTTCAAATTTCCTTACAAATTTTTGCATATCTTTCGTTACTTTGTCAAGTTCACTTATAGAAATTTTCTCTTGCAATAATATAAAGACCGATTTTACTAATAAAGCGAAGTGCTTTAAATATTTTATTTTTAAAATATCAGAGAGACACGGCAAGGCATAAAATAGAAACCAAGATCGCCACTCGCTGGCTTTCCACCTCCCTTTCTCGGTAATTTTGCGGGGTAGTCTATGAATTTCGTGTGGAGGTTTTATATTCATAAGTCTGTCGTTAATTTTACTTAAATTAGCTGGGCTTCCAATATAAAACGTATGTTTAGTTTCTATGGTATATGTTGACCATAGCTCCCATAACTGACGAACTACACCTAATAATACACCGTGCATATAGTCCAATGGAAATGACCAAATTGGATCGCAAAAAGGTAAGTTCAAAATAGAAGAGGGTCCCTTTACCCCTCTAACTGTATTTTTAAATCCACTTTCAATTACCTGTTGTAAATCTTCCATGTGACTTTCTGCACTACGAAGTATTGCTCCATTTTTTTCAAATGGGTACTTAATTTGCTTTTTTACTGCTGTGCCAGTTTGGTAACACCAGCTGCAGCCAAAGTACCCGTTAAATTGGAGTCGGTTTTGTATAACTGGTCTGGCTACGGAATCCACTGAACATAAAAGTGGCACCAGCCTTACACTTAGAGTTTCACCGCTTTCCAATTTTATGTTGACACCAATTTCATATAATCTTTTGGCTTCTGTACTAAATGCGCTCATGATCCTGTTCATCATATGGTTATTGGGTTCTCCACGACCTACCCAAACACCAGCAAAAATCAAACTGCGAAATCGTGTTTTTGGTGGTAGATCATTTAAGAGAAGCTGAATAGGCCACATGGATCTTTTTGACGAATTAAAAATTGGTGCCCCATCAATGGAAAAGCTGTAAGTCAAATGAAAATCCAACTTTTTCTTGCAGTCCTTATAAATCGTTCCGTCTTGCACATCGCTTATGAAGCCACTTTCTTGTTTTCTGTGGTTTTTTATATCATTTATAACATTACTTTGGCTTAATACATCAGCTACTTGATCCGTAGTGTTGACTATGATAAAATAATAATCTTTTGATAGAGAAATTTGGTACTCTTTATTACATTTTTTATTTGGACATTGCACAACCTGTTCTTGAACGCATTCTTTTACCAAGGGATCGGTGAGAGCAGATTTACAATTCTCACAGTAAAAGATATAGTTAGAAACTTGACTTGATGGTTCAAAAAATTTTGCCATATAATAATTTGACGATTGAAATACGTCGTCGTTGCATAAGTTGGCGCAGACTTTTAATAATTCAATAATGTCCTCTCTAGCTGTATTAGATAACTGATGTTTAAGGGATAGTGAATAAATCATAGCGAGCACATCAAATTTTGTTAATCCCGCTTTTTCAAACATAGTATCATTTAAATCAGAATATTTTTGAAAAATGTTGCCATTGATGTTATTATCATTGTTGCACATTTGGTCAGCGGTATAAACTGTATTGTCATTGTCAAGATCAAGGTCACTATTATCATATGTGCTATTGGCACTGTTATTACACATATTAATTTCATCTGTATTACCATTGTTATCAATATCACCATTTTTGTCTTCATTGCCAAGATCAAGGTCATTATTATCATATGTGCTATTGGTACTGTTATTACACATATCAATATCATCTGTATTATCATTGTTATCAATATCACCATTTTTGTCACTATTCCACATGTAACTATCACACAGATCATTATTATTAAAAGAAGTATTTTCATTTGTTGTTTTTTTCTTTAAATCCCCGTAGCTTTCAAAGTCGGACCTGGCAGGACTTACTGATTGTTCTTCGCTTGGATTATATGATTCTATGTAAAAAAAAAAATAATGAAAATCACCCTGTAAATTTTCTATTCAATTTACCTTGAGAAGATATATATGGAAAATGCCTTTTTTCCAGCCGTTTTTTAACATTAGAGCACATATGTTCTAAGTTTCCCGGTTGTAGGTATTGTTTGTATGGTTTTTTAGATTTCTTCTTGATTATTCCACTTGCCATATTAATATATAATAGAAATATAATATATAATAGCAATTGCTGAATTCTCATCGACAGGTTACACCATAGATGAAGAACTATACTGACCGTTAACGATAAAATTTAAACTGCGCAGTTTAAATTTACGCCGTGGCCCTCGGAGAGGGCGTACCAATCGATAATTCTACGGTTATTGGTCGTGTATTTAAAATCTTGATTGGTAAAAATTACTGGAAGATTTACTAAAAATTTATTTATTTTTGACCAAGTGAGTTTGTGTTGGGAATTCCAATATAAATACTTGTTAGATTTATTGGTATATTATTTCAATATATTTCCTATAGGGAATTTCCTAAAAATGTAATGGTTTTCTATCGGGATATGCAAATAGAAAGTCTATTGGTTTGTATAAGGATATACCTATACCAATGCACATATTGCGCCCGATAGAAACCCATATATATATATTTTTTATTGGTTTCTATACGGAATTTCCCAAAAATGTAATGGTTTTCTATCGGGATATGCAAATAGAAAGTCTATTGGTTTGTATAAGGATGTACCTATGCCAATGCACATATTGCGCCCGATAGAAACCCATATATATATTTTTTTATTGGTTTCTATACGGAATTTCCTAAAAATGTAATGGTTTTCTATCGGGATATGCAATTAGAAAGTCTATTGGTTTGTATAAGGATGTACCTATGCCAATGCACATATTGCGCCCGATAGAAACCCATAAATATTTTTTTTATTGGTTTCTATGGTGCATTTTCGGCAGGGTAGGTATATATCATAACATTAAACAAATTTTATAATCGTATCGTATCATCATAATCGTAAATTACCCCAGCAAGCACAAACATCCTCAGGACGTCCTTGGACCAGCCTAAATGTCCCAGAATGGGATGATCCTATAAGGACTTCCTGAGGACGTCCATAGGTTGACCTTATCGGACATTAGATCTTTTTTAGGTCCCATTTTGGGATATCCTAGGAACGTCATTTAAGGATGTCGTTAGGACCTAATAATATCCTAATTAAAGCCTAAAATGGGCTGATCATAGGACTAATCCCAGAGACATCCTCAGAATGTCCCGTTAGGTTTTGGTAAACATTTGGTATGCACATTTTTCTATAATAATAATACCTACATTTTTTTACATAACTTATTTTGCATAGGCACATCTTAAAAATGTCAATTAATATAATTATAATATTATATTATATAGATTTTTTTAAGTTTATAAACGACTTGCATACTATATTTTTTCTACGACAATCACAAAATTTAAATAACTTTCAACAATTATATATAAATAATTATTTATAAAATCTGACATCGACCAGTCTATTCTAACCTCACTTTTTAGACCCTTTATTTTGATGGTCATTGTTTCTCAATTAACTTCAACCCATGACTAAAAAGTCCGAATGCCATTGCTGCCAACTTCAACCCGTGACTAAAACGTCATAAAGCCACAACTTGTCAATGTGTATTTAAAATATCATGGAAACATGTACGATAATCGGCGTTTTAAAGGCAATATTATATTTTGTGTATTTGTTATAATATCCATTTGTATACAAAATATATTTTGTGGTCATATTATGACCACAAAATATATTTTGTATACAATTGGATAGCAGCCAACTTAATACGCATGCGCAGAAATGACTGGTAATTAATAATTGATCAAACACCTTGTTTGTAAGGTATTGATACATTTTGAGTTTTATAAATAATAAATAAGGTAGTAAGCGTCAGTTAACCTTAAAAATGTAATTACAAACGCAATCTATAACTTATTTAATAGTTTGTGTTACCGATTGTTTTAAATTTGCCGCCTTACGTTATGGTGGTAACCATTGTCTATGGTGGTAACCAAAGATGGTGGTAACACTGGATGGAGAGAAAGCTAAGATGACGTATAGCGTCCTTTAGTTGTTTGTCGCCTTTTTGTTAGAAAGAATCATAGATAACACTGTGAAAGGAATTCTTTGTCTGTGCCGTGAATTCTTTTTCTGTGTCGTGAACCTGGTTTAAGGCCGTGAATCTCGTGTTCTCCAAGTGTGTTTGTTAGAATATAATATTATTATAGTGTTCTCTTCGAAATAAACCTTAAATACTAATTTGCTTGAAGATTGAAGTGAACAACAATCATAAAATTCTGGTGAGTTATAATAAGCATACTTGTTAAAAAATAAAAAAATCGTATTTAATTTGTTTCAAAATTTTCAGAAGAAAAAATGCCACTAATTTGCCAATTTAACCGACTTTGTAGCTGCAATAATAATGGAGTTAAAATGGTGAGCAGATAACTTTGGACACTGTGATACATTAATGATATAACTATTATAATATATATATTTATTTAGAATTATTATTTATTTTATATAATTGGCTGTGTAAAATTATATATATGTATACAGAATTAAAATAATATATTTTATAAAGTAATAAAATGGTATTTGATTGATAAAATGTATCCCCAACAAATAATAAGGCCAATCAGAGGATGTCCTCAGGACATCCCATTCCTGGACCTACATATACCCATAGGACTTTCAGGGGACATCCTTAGGATGTCCTATTCCTGGACCTATATGGACCTAGGGATATCCCTAGGATATCCTAAAGGCCATTTGCGGGACGTCTGTAGGCTGGCCTTTTTTGCACCATTCGGCCATGGTTGGGATGTCCTGAGGAGGTCTGAGGACGTCCTAGGATATCCTTGGGATATCCCAATATCCTGTAAGGCTTTCCTTAGGACGTCCTTAGGATAGACTTGTGCTAGCTGGGACTATTTTAAATTTTTATTATTTCTTTAAAATGGTATAAAATCTGTATTACCCGGACAACAATCGGGATTTCCTGGTGAAGTCATGATGATATCACAACGTTATTTTTTTTATCACGCTGTGATATCCTGAGTGCATACACATGCTTCATCACAGTGATATCATGTAGAACGTGTAGAAAGTTTGCGCATGCGTATGAGCCCTGCGAACTGCGAATTTAAAACCTAGTTTAAAGCCTGGTTCTAACAGAAAAGTAATTTAATTTAAGATGTAATTTAATTTAACTTAAAAGTTAAAAACCCAACAATCCTTAAGGACAAATTTGTAACGTTCAAACAGTGATGTAATTTAAAACTTAATTTAATAGTTGGCCAACTTTTATCTTTTAAATTAAATTACGTTATTTCAAGGTTATTTCGTATTATCTAACTTATTTTGGGAGAATCTAACCTATTTTGTGTAAACGGTTTTAATAATAAGACAAATATTTCGATTGTATTTACCAAAGTAAGCCATATATATGGCTTACTTTGGTAATAATATATATATCTAAAACTTTAAGTTTTAGATACATTAAGTAAGCACTCTCTTTAAAATATTGTATTTAATTTCAAACACTATTAAATTACGTTACTTTTTGTATGAACGCAAGTAAGTAAATTAAATTAAATTACTTTTAAAGTTAAATTAAATTATATTACGTTATTTCTCTGTTAGAACCCAGCTTAACACATGATTTTTTATGCTATCGGTGTTTGGGCATAAAAAATCATTACATGATTTTTATGCCATCGGTGCACCGACATGTTTGGATATTTATTTTTGCGCCACATTCGTACATTGTGAGAAAATGTATGTTAACAATTGAATTAACAGTTTTTGCGGTTAAATACATTTAATATTTTCTTGGATGTAAATTAACTATTAATTTAAATCCAAAAAAATATTGAATGTATTTAACTACAAAAACTGTTGATTCAATATGCCTATATGTAGGTATACTTTTTCTCTCAATGTACAAATGTGGCGCAAACATAAATATCCAAACACCGATGGCATAAAAAATTACGACATGATTTTTATGCCATCGGTGTTTGGTCATAAAAAATCACGACATGATTTTTTATGCCATCGGTGTTTGGATATTCATTTTTGCGACACATTCGTATATTGAAAGAAAAAGTATGTTAACAATTGAATCAACAGTTTAGCATTCAATATTTTCTTGTATTTAAATTAACTATATATAGTTAATTTAAATCCAAGAAAATATTAAATTAAACGTGGCGCAAAAATGATTATCCAAACACCGTTGGCATAAAAAATCACGACATAATTTTTTGTGCCATAAAAAATCACGACATGATTTTTTGTGCCATCGGTCAATCGCAAACAGCGATGGCATAAAAAATCACGACATGATTTTCATTTCTCACGCAGTGACATCCGGATGATGTCCGTATGAATAAAATTTGTGAAAATCACGACGTGACGTTCGCATGATTTTCATTTATCATGCGGTGACTTCCGTATGATATCAGTATGAATAAAATTTGTGAAAATCACGACGTGATGTTCGTATGAATATCACGAATGTTGTCCGGGTATTTGGATTTTTTAAATGAAATTTGAAATTTGCCGATAAACTATGGTAAAGTGCACCAATTAAATTTATATTATATTTATTAGGGGCGCCCTGGGCCGGTACGGCCGAGCAAAAGGTTATCTTTTTTTCGCAAACTTCAATTTAAATTCTGCTTACGAAGAACTTATTTATTTAATGTCATTATAAACTCATATAAATTTGGTGCGAGTCCCGGCCATATCTAATAATTGAGATATCGGTATACCCAAAATCCCATGGGATACCTGCAGGTAGCACAAATCGCCACGGTTTCGTCACGTTGTGCTACCTGGGAATGCACCAGCCGCCACTGACTTCAATTGGTTTCTATAAGAAATTAATCGGTCATTTACAAGTTGTAAATTACAACAGGGTTGTTTTTTATGCAAGGTGCTTTAAAGCAATTCTATTGGCAGGTGGTTATCACTTCTCACTTAACCCTTCCTGTGTCCGTAATGTGATTTTTATTTTATGTAGCCCTAATAGCAAAATTTGATTTTAAGAATCTTCTAAGAAGATATGACCCGGAATAATGGAATATTCTTAGAACCTTCACTTATTGCTAAGAATTAGTAAATAGGTAGGTACTTAAGTATAAGTATATAGCTTTATACCAAGTTTATGGTATATTTTACTATTATACAGGTAACTGAACTAAATATGCTTAACAGGAATATTCCTAAATGAACTTTCTATAGCAATCCCAAGCAACAATTTAAGTATTTGTTACGTATATGGGACTATTGAAGAAACTTTAAAGTGTTTTGCGACAGTCGCCGGTCTCTTTATATTACTCTTTCATTACTAAGTTACGACTAAAGTGGGGAACAATTATTGAGTTCCAAAAAGGTAGCAAATAGGTCACTAGCTATAAACCCTGCTACTATTTGGAACGTAGCTGCTACGTTACTAGAACGTTCCAATATCGTTGCTAAAGCGTTATAATTACTTTTATTTATTTGTTTTTACTTCTATATTAACTGTCTTTGTCAAACTTATATTAGCTTATACTATCCCTCCTTTTTTAAATGGATCCATTCGAACCACTACGGACTTGGCTTTTCAATGTCGTCGTTTATTAAATATGTACTGGTAGTTTATAACTTCCAGAATAACAATATAATGTTTAATAAGGCAGGTAAATTTATAAACCCTTTAAATTTTACTGTTGAACTTATGAATTTAGTTTTTGTAAAATAAATGCGCTTCATCAATATTTAAGTATAAACAAATTATTTATTTAATAATGTTTATAAATAAAAAAATCTTAATATTTATTATTAATTTTTTTATTTAATTATTAATACCGTCTATTACCAACAAAATTACTATTTATTAAAAAGTAAACAACCATTTACAAACAATTAAAATAATTTATTATTTACATTACCACGTGGTACTGTACAGTAAAAAATGGCCGATAAGAAGCATTTTCCTTTGAAGTAGTTTTCGCTACTTTAAAGTTTTTTTCCACTTTACGGTTGTTTTGGTTAGTACCATAAACGTTCCAAATACTAAAATAATAACTTTTAAGTTATTAACTTTGTAGTTTTTAACTCATGTTCCAGTTTCGAGATTTTAACTTGCAAAGGGACTACAAAGTAAAAATAATTATAATGTAATCTTTAGGTAGCAACCGAAAGTAACTGCTACAAATTAAATTTACTTTAAAGTTTTTTTTTACTTATAACACCTTTTTTAAAGTTGCAAAGTCTTCTTGGGGGCAACCAAGTTTTACTTAAATGTTTATTACTTTATAGTAACCATTTAAGGAAAAATTAAGTTTCTGTTACAAAATATTGCTATTTAAAAGTTAGAGTTACTTTTAAGTAAAAATTAAAGTAGCTGTTTAGTATAATTAACTAATTTAAAGTTATCACCACTTTGGCAATGGTTTTTGGAACCAAAAATGTTGCTTGGGATTACTTTCTTAACATTCTAAGCATATGTTTAGAGTAGACTAATTTTTACCACTAAAACTTTGCACCTTCTAAAAACCTGCCTATAGGCCAGTAAGAATATTCTTAGGATCATGCTATATGTCTTTTAAGCATGTTCTTTAGAAGAAATATAGCATCCCTGCTGAAAATGACGGATGATTGCGGATATAGATTCTTCGTCAAAACCGGATAAAAGCAGATGATTGCGGGTATAAATTCTTCGTCGAAGCCGGATAAAAGCAGATAAAAGCGGGTAAAAATATCATCTGATAACATCTGCTTTTATTCGCGAACATCTGCTTTCATCCGCGAACATCTGCAGTCACCCGCGAACAACTCGAAAAGCATGTTTGCGGGTAAAACCAGACGTTTGCGGATGTTCGCGGGTGATTGCAGATGTTCGCGGGGGATTGCAAATGTTCGCGGATAAAAACGGTTGTTTGCGGATTAAAGGAGGCGTTCGCGGATAAATGCAGATGTTTGCGGATAAAAGCAGATGTTTGCAGATTAAAATAGATGTTTGCGGATAAAAGCAGATGTTTGGAGATTAAAACAGATGTTTTCGGATAAAAGCCGATGTTTGCGGATAAAATCAGATCTTCGCGGATAAAAGCAGATGTTTGCAGGTGAAATCGGGTGATCAGACTTTTGCGGACTAAATTAGATGTTTGCGGATTATACAGATGTTTTTGGATTAAAGCAGATGTTCAAAGATAAAAGCAGATCTTTGCGGATATAAGCAGATGTTTTCAGGTGAAATCGGTTGAAGCAGACTTTTGCGGACTAAAGTAGATGTTTGCGAATGAAATTAGATGTTTGTGGATTAAAATAGATGTTTGCGGATGAAAGTAGATCTTCACGTATAAAAGCACATATGTTTGCAGGTGAAATCGGATAAAGCAGACGTTTGTGAATTAAAGTAGATGTTTGCGGATAAAATCAGATAAAACCGGGTGAATGCAGATATAAACCCAAATACAGGCATTTGCGGATGAAACCAGATGAAAGCAGAGTTTTATCTATTTAGTTCTATGTCTGCTTAGCAGACATAGAACTAAATAGATAAAACCCGACGTTCGCGGATAATATTTATACCCGCAATTGCAGATAAAAACCGACATGCCGGGTAAAATCAGATATGTCAGATGAAAACAGATATAAATGAACATAAAACTAGCTTGTTTTTTTATCCGCAATCATCCGATATTACCCGTCTTTTTCAGCAGGGATGATCCTAAGAATATTCTCACTGGAAGGTTTAAAAAACATTCTTAGAATAAAGTGTGCTATCAGGGACCCAGACAGCACATATATCCATTGGACGTCCAGCGGACGACCATTGTACATCCAAACGTCCAATGTAAGTCCATTTGACGTCCAATGGACATCTTGTGCTGTATGGGGAGATACCATGCACTTTAGTTTATTTGCACTAGAAGTATGTTTTTTGTGGGTTGTGTACTTGGGTGTGTTTTGAGAGAGGTCCAGTAGCGTCTGTCGTCATCAAGAGTTTGAATGTAACTGAATAAAAAATACTGGTAATTTATATCTGCCATTTTACGAGAAAACCATGTTTTTTGCCAGTACCAACGCTTGAAGGCCATTGTACTTTTTGCGCATTGAAGAAGCGTTATCATAAGATTGACCACGGCAGTTCTTAAATCAAAAATTCCTTCAAAAACTTGCTCAATCCTTGAAACATCTTTAGCTTTGTGGCCCTGGTTAGGCATTTAACAGGGATGTGTTTCTCTAAATATCTAAAAATCTGATCTGATCAACTGGATTTTAATCAAATGATATGGAATAGTACTTTTTAACGCCTTCTGGATTATCTCCCCGTATGCGCTCCGTGTTTTCTCCGCGAAACTTCTGTCTTAAACCTTTAATTGATGAATCCCCCTCTTCACTCAACGATTAAACTAAATGCAAATGATTAATGATTACGATTAGGTACCAAACTTTTGTATTATTTGTTTACTAAAACAAAAAAATTGATCGACGTGTTAAAAATTATAATACATTTTGTCGGTTTTATTTAAATTTATTATTTAAGGATTGTAATAATATTATTTTGTAGGGTTTTTGGGCTGGGTAACTCAGAGGTTCCGAAAACACCTGATTTATTATACAGCGAAATGTCAACCATAAAAATTATTGAAATTAAAAAGTTCTAATGTTGTCAATGTCACGTGTCAAGAAACAAGAAGCAACAAAACTTTGTCAAGTTTGACTTTTTGGACAAAAAAATATTTTAAAAATGATTTTTTACAAATAATCCTTAAAATTATGTTTAATAAACCGTTGGGTAATTCATCAAAAAACTATGAACAAAAGAACAGTTTCTTTTACCTCGTGTTAAAAGCCCTAAAATGTTTACATGGAAGCAAAAAAACCGCCCATGGAGCTCGATTAAAAGATATCGTGAACTATTTCGACCAAACTTATAATTTCGTAGGAGACTTGCAGAGCCAAGTAAGAAACGCGTTAGATATTGGTGAGGAAAGACGATTCATTAAAAGAAAAGGAGATAAATTTACTCTTGTTTCTCCTGTAGCGACATTACAACTCATACCATCTGAATGCCAAATGGTGGAAATCGATCGAATACAAAAAATATTTGAACCGGCCTGGTGGACGGAAAAGGAGAGATCGTGTGTTAAGAAAAGCAAGACTTTAAGAAAATGCGGGGTTGATACTAAGAAATCGTGTATTAACAAAAGCAAGAATTTTAGAAAATGCGGGGGTAATGATAATACAAATACCTGTAGATGTTCTTTAATGCATCATTCTGAGGAAAGAAGCTTTAGGAGCCCGAAAAGGCAATGTCAAAAATCGTGTAGAGGTAAAGCCAACTTCTTGTATAAATTTAAGTGAACTAATTAAACAATATTTTTATAGATAGCTCGGGTAGTTCAAGACAAAGTGACGAGAAGAAAAAGTCTACTTATACATTAGGAAATACGTTCAAAAAATTTGCAAAGCAGATTTCAAATCAACTCAGTTCCACCACAAACAGAGATGAATGTACCCAATATATGCCAAGTAAAAGAAAATTAAGAAGTTGTAGGACCCTATCGCATAGTAGTAAACCAAAAAAAAGAAAAAAATCATGTTACTCCTATTGCTAATTCTTCAAGTATAAAATTGTTTTAAATAAATGTATAACAGCATATAAAATATGTAAGGTAACTCTGGTTTTATTAGAAACTTTATTTGTAATATTTTTATGTATAACATACTAAAAATTGTTTAAAAAGTGAAATATATTTTAACTATAACCTATTAACATAATTTACAAACGTTTTTATATCCTCTTCATATTTTTCTTTGGTTTCAATGGTATGTTCTTCACTTAGAACATGAAGATGAATTTCTCCATCAGATGTTCCCAGAATCTAAAAATTAAGTGTATTTTGTATCAAAACTATTTAACTTTATAGTAGGAAATAGCAAAAAACACGTTATGTATGTGATCTAAAAAAATTTTTTATTTATTATTATTATATTATTATTATTATCATCACCATAACTATCATTATTTAACACTGGAGTTAATTGAATGGTCAAATAATTATTTTATTATAATTTATATTAATATAATACTTTTAATGAAAACTAAACTACACAAGCAGTAGTTCTTACCATATAAGATTTCTCCATTGAAGATTTGGCATTATTCATTGATAAAGGTGATAACTTCATACAAGTTATTTCCTTTCTGAAAGGAATAGAATACACCGGAAAAATATCGCTTTGAGCAAGGTCCCATATGTGAATCGAATTAGTCTCGTCCTTCGAATAGATAACAAAAGGTCTATTCCTAGACCACTGAAGTTCTTGAACGCTTTGCTTCGTAAAATCAGCCTCATTGTTCGATAGAATGTTTAAAGGTTTTTTAGTTGAATTTAAAAGGAGGTTTATATTTCCAGATTTATATCCAGCTAAAAAGTAATTGGGCAAAAATGGACATGGTTCCAGACAGTTGACTTCTGTGGTAAGCTCTAAAAATATAGAATATTAATTTTACTAAGAGACCAAGAAGTTCCTATATGTAGGTATCATAATATAAAGGAACGACTTAAACCAAGAAAGTAGCTTGTTTTAAGATTTTAGCTCATTTGAATCACATAATCATACTTGCAAGTCAATTACATAAAATGGTAACAATATTTTGAGCTTTTCATTTAACAGTTTCAGGTCATACTGTTTGTTTAAGACTTACCAGACAATAATTCCTTTGGATTTGATTTGGATCCGTTAAATTGATATTTAATTATATTTCCATAATTTGTACCCACATAAATATTGTTTATTGTTCTTTTATCCATAATTAAATCCGTACATTTTAAATCAACCAGATCGGGATAAAGTTTAGTCAATGATATGTGAACATTTTTAATCAGTGCATCATTTTTAGATTTTTTCACAAGGTTCCACAAAATGATTTCGCCATCTTCATCTAAACTACAAATCTGAAAAAGAATTGTTTTAACTAATGTCGACAATTTTCTGTGGGTTACCTGTCTTTGGTTATTGTTAAAATTTAAAGTTGAATCCCAATAATTCGTAAGAGATTCTATCGCTACCACTTTTGAATTATGTGCACTATTAATATCTGTTGAAAAATTTGGACACCCTATTAATGTATTAAAGTCGTTTTGGCTCTCTAAATTCCATATCAATAAACTTCTAAAATTTACAAATTATATAAATTCTCAAAAATCTGACCTCAACTGAGGTCAAAATTGAAAGCACGACAAAATCCTTTGAAATGTTTTGTCTAATTTATATTTAAAAATGTTGCAAAACTATGTTATTAGCGTAGGTATATTTCTTACCCATCATTGGTTCCTCCAATAATCAACTCAGAATTACCAAACTCGAAGGTGCATGCTGTTACGTCGTTAAAAGATATTAAAATGTTTTTGGGATCCTGGGAATATGAAATATTCCATAAAGAAATGATGCTTTTAAAATCATTCACTTTGTTTATTGTTTTTGAATGCACAGCCAAAAACATATTGCTATTATTTGTCGCAAAAGCAGCGCATTTAACTGAACAGTCCTTGAAAATTTCGTTTATTGTATTTAGATGGATAGTGCCTTCACTGAAAGGTATATCCGATTGATTGTTTACAATTTGTGGTATGGTTCGAATAGACTCCTCTTGAATTCTTAAAATTAGTTTTCCTGTTGAATGTATAAAACTGTCTAGTTTGTCGTTATCATAAATAGGATTAGTATCAATTTTAAGAGTGTTATCACAGCCAACGCCAAGTAAATCGGATTTGTAAATATTCCAAAAGTGTGAATCCGTCTGATCGTGTTTGGAAAAATTAATAGGAAATTGCGTCCATTTACTCACAACCTCAATTAAATCAGTTTGTGTTTCTTCGCAAACGTTATCTTCACCAGTTTGCGTGGAAGTTTGAGCTGAGTTAGTTTTACCGTAAGTTTGTATGAACTTCTCGTAAGGAATAGGCTCCAAATTAAATAAAGTAAAGTCGTACGTATCCATTCTGATCATGCTCAGTATTTCTTGACCGCGTTTTCTTCTTAGTTGCGCTGATTTTCTCCTAATAAATTTTTCTTGAGCCCCGGCAAAATTTATGAACTGCAAGGATTTAGCTTCTTCAAAGCCTTCATCAGATAGTGAAGCTGGATTTCCTGCGACAGCAATCGTTGAATTTTCTTTCTCTATGGACTCTTTGATATTATAGAGAAGTTGTTTATGTTTTTGCTCTGGCAAATCAAAGTTACCCGAGTCCAATTTTCGCTCGTCTTCAGTTCCAGCAGAGTTACTACGTTTACTAGTAGATGTGAACTCTTTTGGTTGATTTTCAGTGTTGTCGGAGATGCTTGTCTCGCTACCTGAAGATACGTTGTTTAAGTCGCTAGCGCTGGCACTTGAAGAGGACGAATATGCTTCGAAGTCTGAGTCGTAGGATTCAAAATCGTCTTCGTAATTATCAGATTGGGGACTTTCAGGTTTGATTTCGCGGTGTTTTTTATGTTTTGGGGCTTCGGGGCCAACTATATTCGCATTCACGATGCTTCCCTTTCTTAGAGTTGCCGTCCTGGGTCGTTCCGATATAGAAGTTTCAGGGGAATCCTGAGGTTTTTCTTTAACCTGTTTAAGTTTTGAGTTTTTTACTATTATAGGTTTTACAAGGGTTTCTTTGGTAGATATGTTTTCGGTTGTCTTAATAGCCTTCGAATACAAACTTTTACTTGGAAAAAATTGTGATTTAGTAACCCTATTACTAGGGGGTGTTGATGGAATTTCCATTTTGAGGGATGTTTTATTTACAGCAGATTTTCTTACACTTGTATCCTTTAATTTAACATCTTGAGTAACTTTACTTGATTTGTGAGGCAGATTTTTTCTCGCACTTGTATCCTGAGTGATTTTTTTAACCTTGACATCCTTTCTTCCTTCTTTATTAACTTTAACAACATTCGTTTTCGGCACTTCTTTTTTGGAAATAACACTCCTTTCCACGCTGTCATCTCGTTTTCTAGTCGATAACTTCGACGTTGTTGCGACTTTTTTCTTGAGTACGCTTTGACTTGATACCTTTGAAACATCCTAAAACAATGGTTAAAATAATCTCCATGGTTGTTAAACTTACCACCTTTTTCGTCGACATGCAGGTATTTTAAACAATTATTGCTTACAACATTTGTTTGCGTTTTGACATTAATAAGTATGTTGACAACTGAACACAAACTAGAACAAGTTAAATCGATAGGCCAGCGTTACGTGAAAGGTGGAAAAATAACAGCGCCACTAGATCTTGAATTGTTTGTATTGTAGTCAATTGTGGATATCCACGTGTTACCTGTAGGGGTTAAACCGCTTTTAAATGCTATTTTTAATTAGAAGCACAGCTGTTTTGAATTTTTACATACCTGTTTGACGTAGGTATTAAAATTATTGTCTCGCATGGCTATTTTACGTCTTTACAGTTTGTCTAATAATAATAATAATAATAATAATAATAATAATTTATTTGCCCAACAGAACAATACATTCCAATAATAGGACAAAAATATACAATTATATGCAAATAGAGAACCTTAGGTTTCAAATATATCTTTAGCAATAGCTAATAAATAATTTAAGCTATTAAAAAACAAATCACATGAATGGCTTATTAAATTGTAGTTGTTAGTTATAACATGAACTGGTGAGTATGCTAACATTGCAGTACGAGCAATATTGCAATAAAACATATTACTATTACGAGAATTAAGTCTAGGAACATGTAGATTATTTATAAATAAGAAATTGGAACAGTCAATCTCGTTGTGAAAAACTTTGTACAAAAATTTTAAACCAGAACGTACTCTTCGAAAATGCAGCGAATCAACATTAATCTTTCAAGTAATAATTTATAGTAATAAATTATTGTCTTGCATGGCTATTTTACGTCTTTACAGTTGTCTAATAATAATACTAATAATAATAATAATAATAATAATAATAATAATTTATTTGCCCAACAGAACAATACATATACAATAATAGGACAAAAATATACCTACAATTATATGCAAATAGAGAACCTTAGGTTTCAAATATATCTTTAGCAATAGCTAATAAATAATTTAAGCTATTAAAAAACAAATCACATGAATGGTTTATTAAATTGTAGTTGTTAGTTATAACATGAACTGGTGAGTATGCTAACATTGCAGTACGAGCAATATTGCAATAAAACATATTACTATTACGAGAATTAAGTCTAGGAACATGTAGATTATTTATAAATAAGATATTGGAACAGTCAATCTCGTTGTGAAAAACTTTGTACAAAAATTTTAAACCAGAACGTACTCTTCGAAAATGCAGCGAATCAACATTAATCTTTCAAGTAATAATTTATGATCAATGCCCCTCTTTGGGTACACATTATCCAGCCTGAATGCTAGAAGTTTTAAAAACTTACGTTGAACATTTTCAAGTAATTAGTTTAGTTATTATAGTGCGGAGACCAAATAATAGAGCAGTATTCGATTTTAGATCTTACTAAACAGAAGTATAAGGATTTTAAAGCGATTTCAGTTTTAAATCCTCTCGAATTTCTGCTAATAAAACCTAATAATTTACATGCTTGGGAAACTAAATTTTGTATATGACTCGAGAATGTTAATTTATTATCAAATAATACGCCAAGATCATTAACACTTTCACAAAAAAAAAAATTATTGTTTAAAGAGTATTGGTAAGTTATTAAATCATTCTTAAGGGAAAAAGTACCTACAAGTTTTGCATTTGGAAATGTTCAAAACCAGCTTGTTCAATTTGCACCATTGATGTATATATAATAAGTTAATTTGTTTTGTATAAAATATCTAAATTCAAAAATGTTTAATGAATCATTAATAATGATGGCTATTAAGAATATACATTTTTATTCGAGAAATAAAATTTGCCGCTCTTAACAAATGGGTGTTTCCATTTTATAGTTTTTTTTTCGTACAAATTCACAAAATTTAACGGAGATAATGAAAGTTAACAAAAATGCATTTTTTTATATTTCCAAAATTTCAAACGTATTTTTATTATTTTCCTCATTTATTACAATACAGCCGGAAAAAATGGGGAATATTCGATAAAAGAATATTTTTAAAAACTTTATACCTATGTAAGTACCTATTCAATAATGCATTAAACAATTTTCAGTTTTTTTTCTTTATGACAAATATTTATCGGATATTTTTTTGCCGGCAGTTTATTTTATACAATTAAAAAATGCAACTCAGTGTGGAATAATTTTTCAACTTGAAAAATTAACAAAAAATTAATTAATAAAAGATTTCGATTTGCAAGTTAAATATAATAACAAATTATTTTAAAATGGCAAAGGCAGTAAGAAAATTAAGCTACTAAATATGCACACAGATCTACAAAAGCACTCCATAAATGAAATATAAAGGTTTTTGATGTGCTGAATTCTAATCCAACCTTAGAATTGCTTTACATAACATAACGAAATATTTTTTTTTTCACAACCAAGCGAAAAGTACAAATTTGCGCTTCCAAAAAAAAGCGCAAAGTTGCACTTTTCCGAAGAGCGAACGTTTTTTTACTTTGTCGCTCGCTTAGTTACCATGGAAACCATTATAAAGAAACGTTTAGTGTATTTGCGACTTTTGACATAAGTAAACGTCAAATTTCAAAAGCACTCCATAAATGAAATATAAAGGTTTTTGATGTGCTGAATTCTAATCCAACCTTAGAATTGCTTTACATAACAACGAAATATTTTTTTTCTACAACCAAGCGAAAAGTACAAATTTGCGCTTCCAAAAGAAAGCGCAAAGTTGCACTTTTCCGAAGAGCGAGCGTTTTTTTACTTTGTCGCTCGCTTAGTTACCATGGAAACCATAATAAAGAAACGTTAGTGTATTTGCGACTTTTTACATAAACGTTAAATTTGAGGTTATCAATAATTATAAATTTTTACCAAACATTCTTATAGAAATAACGGTTATAGAAAAAATCCTGTGAGTAATTCGAGCGCAAAGTGACATTGCCGCTCTCGCGAGATAGCCGCGCTCTTAATACACAAATAGCCGAGCAAATAGCTATTTTACAGGACTCATTATGCTATCTGTCTTAATCTTTCTCTAAAATTTTTACATTAAACAAATTTTAACCAACAATTTTTCGAAGAGGAGAAAAAAATATCCTTTTATGTAATATTAAATATTGGAAATATGCATTTTTATAATGTCTTGCCTAATGTGATAAACCAAATTTTAGGTCAAGCATAAAAAATAATGTGACGCGCTCCTAGAAAAGGGACCTAATCGTCCCAGCGTTAATTTTAGAGGAGAAAGGAAACAGCAGGCGAGCGCGTTGGTCAGCAGCACAAACGGAGAATTTTTAACGCGTTGTTATATGCAAAACATTCAAGCAAAATTATATCTTAACAGATAATTATAATTAAAGGTAAATCTATAACGATCATAATTTTCTCGAAACCGATTTTCAAGATTAAAAAATACCTAGCGATAAACATTTATTTTTCTAAATCTAAAATAAAAAGATAAATAAACCATAATGGTTTAACCATGTAGTAAAATCTGTGGTCAACATTTCTTTTACAAATTTGCCGCCCCTAGCAGAGTACCGCCCGTGTGCGCTGACATCTTAGAGAAACAAATATTAATACAAAATAAATGATAAGTAGAATAATTTATTATTATAAGTCTATTCATTATATAATCGTAAGTTACGATTCTTAACGAATACCACTCGAGCAATCAAAAATGATTATTTTTCACTCGATATATGAGTATGAGGGTTATTTTACCCTCTTTCAGTTCTCCTACGTATCCCGCAACTGCACAGCATTGCCTGTGTTTGTTGGATCCAAATTCTCACGCCGGCTGGGAGGTCGTGGATGCATTCATGACAATATCGATGGTTAAGGCCATTCCCGGAATTTTGTCGCCGGGTCATATGCCCAATTTAGGCTAGTGAATTGCGGCTATACGCCCAATTTAGGCTAGTGAATTGCGGGAAGGAGGGAAAACATATGGGTTTTTGGAGGACATTGAACTGACTTAAAACTAGGTACAATCCGGAATCCCCCTCAACCATGGATTTAGTATTAGACCCATTCAATTGGGGTTCATGAATGAGGCTTGGTAGTTAGGATGTTGCTAGGAACTATCCTTGCTGGTCTTGTAGTACTTTCCGTTTGACTGCGTCCGTGTCTGCTGAAAATTTGGGAACCGCTGTAAGCCGATTGTCTGCCCCACTGTGCGAAACCATTTCTTCAGTCTAGAGGTCGAAAATTATCGATAGATAGTTTTCAGTATTTGGCCATGTAACTACAGATAGTTATCGATAGTTTATTTGTTGTTTTAATGTTTATAACCGCAGTAATGCGAAATTTTCTAATTATTTCTAGTTATTGTGTTGCCCAAGCACGTTTTGTGATAAAAATTGTATTTTCGTTTTTTTTTTATATTTTTCTAACAATAAGGTATTGCATTTATTTATTAAGTTAAACAAATGGTAAACGCAATTATTTTATTATACTATTTTAGACTCGCATGAGACTATTACTTTTATTCGCTATATTGGGGTGTTGAGTGGTTTATTTGTTTGTAGACGATCAGAAATTGGTTTCGAGTGTTACCTACTTAAGATTTCAAGTCACGTCCTTTGTTTGGATGCTTGTTTTTATTTTTAAGTCGAACTTGCATATTTAAAAGACCTATAGGTATTTTTTGGTCTATTACGATGTTGGTTTATTATTCCCTGTCCACCTATTTTGATGTTGTTTTTTTAAAATGTATATTTTGTTGTTTCTACGGATTTTTCTACTTGAGAAGGTAGAAACCCGGCGGCTTTGTAGGCTTGGTGAATTACGGAATTACAAGTTTTTAGTATTACGAATAGCGTCGTGCAAATATTAATAAAATACTTATCCGAATTTTACGGATGTCCCTTGTTTCCTTTGCACTTTAGTCCTGGTCGGTGAGGTGATTATGCACCTTGGGATTCGCGGAACGAAACCTTATAGAATAATTACCTTTTAGGTATTCTGGATTTTAAATGCACTGGTTATTTTTGTATCGTTTGTGAAGCGATAGAAATATACGTCTGACAGTACAAGCTGTACTGTCATACTGGATTATTTTTCACTCGATATATTTCCTAAAATACCACTCGAGCTACGCAGATTACGTCTCGTTACTCATAAAAAAACTGATATATAAGTATATTATACTACATGAACGATGGAAGTAATGTTTGTAATTAGGTAATTTTTAAATAATTTTTGTATAATTCATCAGGTAATAAATTATGCAATAATTATATTTATCTACTCCTACAAGTAGCTATTGCATAATATTGCTTTTTTTCGTGAATAATGATAAACATTATAAATTCCTTGCCAAACAACAGGAATAATGAACTTATTATTCACGTTGTTAGGCATCACCCAGACCGCAAAATCACATTCCCTGCTCATGCCAGGAATATTCCCAGGAATATTCCAATCGTCCCAGAATATTCCCAGGAATATTCCTGGCATAATCAAATGTCCGCTTTTTGATTAACCCAGGCATCATAAAAAGAATATTCCATATATCTGCCTGCAGAAGACTCAAGGATTATTAGGGGAATATTCCTTGATATAATTTGGGGATTATTCCCAGCCCATATTGCCTCTTATACCCAGGAACTTAACTTAAGTATAGCCATTTTGAGTTACTGAGTAGATCAGTCCCACTCTAATCATTGTTTGGCTGTGCCATCACAGACGCACATCTCCAACTAATATTATTAACCTATCGGTATATATAGTTATCAAGCGTGCGTAAGCAACGGTGAGAGGTATTGCAACTAAACTAATGAATATTCACTGGGAATATTCTTAGATGATGCTTGGAAGTTTTAGAGGATCATTCTAGGAATATTCCCAATGAATATTCCTAGAATGAAGCGGAATATTCCTAGGCGATACGGAATATTCCTGGAATATTTTCGAACCTTCATTGCAGTCTGGGCAGTGATTGGCCGATTTCAATATTCAATGTGATTTGAACCAATCGGGTTTTAAATTAATATAAATTGGAGTTTCTAGATAGATAGGTAGAGTATAGTATTGCACTGATTTAAGTCTTTTGTCTGGCGACTCGCCATGTATCATGTATGTAAAAAATAGCTGGGTAAGTTCAAAATTTATTGACTAAAAATAAATTGGAGTGGGGAAACCGACTTTTGTCGAACGTTTGATCGATGCATCGAGGAAATATGAAATACCTTCATGCTCTAAAGAAGTATCGGGTTTTCGCAACGCGCGCGCTATCTGGTGGACTTTGATAGCATTGCGTGAATTTAAGAATTGTCAACAATACATTTAAAGCACAGATTATACATCATTTTTAAATAAATAGGTAGGTTTTTCACAAAAGAGAGGAAGGCAGAAGTCTTACTCGACAAATTTTGTTCAATTGCACAGCTAAATCGCGCACGTTATTGTGTTTTACGTTGCAAGGAAAAAATTAAAAAACTTTTTTAGTACTCGATTTTGATTGTATATCCCTTATATCATTGATTAAGAAACTCAACGCTTATATGCTTATATAGTTACGTTAGTGTGTGTATTTTATCTAACGGATCATGGTGAATTATTGTGTTTTTAATTGTAAATAAAATTTAAGAACTAAATCGTTGCATTTTCATGTTTTGCCAAAGGATCCAATTCGGTAAGTACATTTGTTGGTGCAGAATTAACTAATGATAAGTTTGGACATTTTTAAGAAATTAGTAAAAAATAATTTTTGCACAAACATAACCTTAAAATCAACCATTTTTATATTTTAGTTCTCTAAGAAACGCCGATAACTGTATTTTAAACAACATAATATACCTACGAATTCATGGCAACATAATATTATAGGTAGGATTTAATACATAATATGGTATTTTACCGTTTAGTGGAGACTTTCTTAATCAACGCATTTAATAATGCTAAATGCTGTTTAAATTAAGACGACTTATTTGTTTAACGATTTTTACTGAATTGAAATGTTTACACTTTTCACGTTAATCACTACTAAAATGTGTATTTATTTATCTAATAGGTACTGTATGCAATTTATTTCTTCATTCAGATTAACACTATTTATTGGAAAACCGGTAAAAACTCAACCCAGGGTTTTCTCTCGAAATACACCCAACAACACAACAAATCGAGTCACTTTTCTTACGTTGACAACAGCCGAGTGGTGGTGCTACTAGCGATACTTCTTTAGCGTATAGCGTGTCCAAAAAATTATATAGAAAATGCATATGAGTAAAATAAAAATATATAAATATAATAAAATATTTATTTACAATATATATCACAGAAACTGTCATCAGTTCAATAGGAATTCTAATCGCTGGTAAAAATATTATCTAATACGCAAATGACGTTTTCTCTAAATTAAAACCTAATCTTACAAATGACTATTAAAGGATGTTTTATATTGGGCAATTTACATATAAAGTAATTTGCATAAATTAATTAAAGTCAACAGAACACGTAGAAAAGAAGTAAATTAACAAATATTGTTATTAAATATGGTGAAGCCATTTCCTGAGAAGAAGCCAAGCATGGCGTGTCTGACTTAATCAAACTTTCGAATTCGTTGCTCATTGTATCGGTGTTTCTTGCCATTGGAACGCTGCGTATTCTAACAGTCTCATCTTGGAAAAGCAAATCGGATTTTCCATCGTATTTTCCGTACATTGTATATGGGGACGTAAGTGACTTAAAGTTTTTCCCAAACAACTCGTCCAGCTGAAGAAAAACGTCCAAGGTGTCCTTTTTCCAAACTTCGCTGGAATTTGTTCGGATCATACCATATCCTACAGGGGACCATCCCAGGTGACAGGCGTTTGAAGAGTTACCACACACGATTTTAAAGTCCTCCAACTTATAGTCTTTGTTATCTGAAAATAAAAAATATTAACTTTTCTAAAACAAGTTTAAATATAAAGTTCTTGTTATAACAAAATTGTGAGGAATTTATATATAGCCATAGAATGGCAAATTCTGTAACAAGTTTGGAATACAGCATATTTCGCTCGAGTCTAAAGTTTGTCACTCGAGCTGAATGCGAGTTTGATTCCAGTCAGCAACCAATTCAGAAGGATTTCAGTATGAAGTCTTTTAAACAACTTCGTGTAGAAGTTCTAACATGACGTCTTAAACAGCTCCTTTTTATGAGCTCAGAATTCTGAGCTGTTAATGAACTCATAAATAAGAAGTCAATTTTTTTACGTACAAATGAAGATCTTTTCTTGACCTCTTTTTGAACAATTTATTTTGAGCTTACAGAGTATTCTTTTTTCTTTAAGAGTATTCTTTTAAGACTTACTTCCAATTGAAATCATACTATTAACTCTTTTAGAAGTTAAAATACAGACGTCGAATTAAGTACCTACTTGTTAATGGATTCATTTTTAATGCGCAGTTTGAGGCTTGCGCAGAATTTCTAATTTTTTGTTTATTTATTTTCCTAGTGCGCTCTAACCTCTTTCTGATGTATTTGACGTCCAAATCATAAAATAGAGCTTATGCAGACTTAATTAAGACGTCATATTGCTGTCTGGGATGGTTTCACGAGAGCGAAATATTTAATTCCAAATGTATTTTAGACTATACTTTTTATACGTTTCTAAAATATACCATAGATAAATAATTTAATTAAGATCGGTCTAAAAGTTGTTAGATAATAAACAGAGATGGTGCCACAAGTGTTTATTGCGTCATCCGGTGATATAATGGATTTATTCTGTAACACTTTAAGTCCACATTAAAACACGGTGTGCCTGAACGAAGTTTAAGTCACATAAAAATGCCGCCAAAAACTGATTGCAGTTTCTTGTTCGGGACCCTTTGGTGACTTAAAAATTATATTTACCAAAATCCTACCTGCTCCTCTTTTCGAAATTTTTTGAAAATTCATGATTTTTTTTTTTTAATTTTTGTTTATTTCAAAGTCTATCTTTGACAGAGTACACATTTGTACACCGATTTTTATAAAATTAGAGAATATTCTTGAGGAGACTTAAAGAATACTTTTTAATACTGTTCACATCATTTGATATGTTCAGGGTGAGCCAAAAATCGCTTATTTTTAATTATTTGTTTATCGCAAAGTCTACCTTTGCCAGAGTACACATTTGTACACCGATTTTTATTGATTACAGTCTCTTGTTCGCCACCCTTTGGTAACTTTAAAATGATATTTACCAAAATCCTAGCTGCTCCTCTTTTCGAAATTTTTTAAAAAATCTGTTTTTTTTTTTAAATTTTTGTTTTTCTTACCTTTGACAGAGTAAACATTTCGTCGTTTATCTGACAAAGAGGCGTAACTCAAAAAAAATCTTTTTTGAGTTATACCAGAATGATCACCAAAATCGACTTTATAATCTCACAAACTGGCGTAGCTCTATAATAAATAGGTACAAATAAAGTTTTAGCATAAATCAGTTTCGGCGTAACTAATATTTTTGCATTTTGTGTGCCGTACAAACTGGCGTAATTCAATTCACACCGATTTGTTTAAAAATGAGATACGCCTCTTTGTCAGATAAACGACGATTTGTACACCGATTTTTATAATATTGGAGTATATTATTAACGAGATTTGGAGAATACTGTTTTCATACTGAGCACATCATTAGATTTATACAGGGTTAGCCAAAAATCACTTTTTTATATACAGTGTGACCCATTTGTTTGCGACTCACTCCTGTAAAATCTTTATTTATTGTGCGATTTTAACCGGATTTGTTTTAAACTGTAGATCTTGATAAACTGTATTTTTGAAGCAATATTTTTACAAAATACAAGGCCTACTATGTCAGTTTTTAAGAGTAAATTTTTAAGAATTCATATTGTCTATTTTTTTTAAACAAAATCTAAGCACGGCACTAGATTCACCACCCCTCAAAACGACCCTATGCTAAATTTTATTAAAAAATTTTAAGAAAAAAAATGCACAATAATAACTACAAAAATTTATTTTGTCAAGTTATCCATGAAAAAACATTGAAATAAAATTAAACTTATAGTAATAGTACCATGTTAATATTAGTTTAATTTTATTTCAATGTTTTTTCATGGATAACTTGACAAAATAAATTTTTGTAGTTATTTTTGTGCACTTTTTTTATTATAATTTTTCAATAAAATTTAGTTTAGGGTAGTTTTGAGGGGTGGTAAATCCAGTGCCGTGCTTGGATTTTGTTTAAAAAAATCGCTAATATGAATTCTTAAAAATTTACCCTTAAAAACTGACATAGTAGGCCTTGTATTTTGTACTAATATGGCGTCTTTTGCTCCAAAAATACAGTTTATCAAGATCTACACTTAAAAACAAATCCGGTTAAAATCGCACAATAAATAAAGATTTTACAGGGGTGAGTCGCAAACAAATGGGTAACACTGTATATAGTAAAAAGCATAATGCACAAAAAAGATTTACCCATCTCCAAAAAATTAATTTAATTTAATTTTATTCAAATTCAATTTTTCTTATAAAGTCTTAATAAGAATCCCATTTTGTAGCCTGATAAACATAAAAATATATATATATAGTAGGCCTTGTATTTTGTACTAATATGGCGTCTTTTGCTCCAAAAATACAGTTTATCAAGATCTACACTTAAAAACAAATCCGGTTAAAATCGCACAATAAATAAAGATTTTACAGGGGTGAGTCGCAAACAAATGGGTAACACTGTATATAGTAAAAAGCATAATGCACAAAAAAGATTTACCCATCTCCAAAAAATTAATTTAATTTAATTTTATTCAAATTCAATTTTTCTTATAAAGTCTTAATAAGAATCCCATTTTGTAGCCTGATAAACATAAAAATATATATATATATATATATATATATATATATATCTTTTTGCGTGTTATGCCAAAATCATGAAGTTACGCTTTTGCTTTATTTAAAGAAGCGATTTTTGGCTAACCCTGTATATATTAAATGATGTGCACAGTGTAAAAAAGTATTCTCCAAATCTCCTTAACAATATACTCCAATATTATAAAAATCGGTGTACAAATGTGTACTCTGTCAAAGGTAGACTTTAAGATAAACCAAATTTTTTTTTAAAAATCATGAATTTTTAAAAAAATTCGAAAAGAGGAGCAGCTAGGATTTTGGTAAATATAATTTTTAAGTCACCAAAGGGTCCCGAACAAGAAACTGCAATCAGTTTTTGGCGGCATTTTTATGTGACTTAAACTTTGTTCAGGCAGACCGTAAAAAAGTGATATTAAAAAGGTCATATTCCGTAATAGGAGTAGGAAAAATAATATTATAAAACTAATTTGTAAAAATTAACCCATTTTGTCCCGTTTAGCATCAAATCAGCAAAGAAAATGTAAAATTACAAGTCACTGTAGGATAAATTCATAATCTATAATAACATATGTCAAACGTCTAACCTGACAAAATGTCGCAAACTTGATAATTTCAATATAAGTACAGAATTCATAAACGCTTGAAAAAAATAGTATATAAAACATGGCGGTGTAAGGTAATGTACTATTATTTATATAATTTCTATTTTTTATTTATTAGTTGGTTTTTATTAAAATATATAATGGTATAATGTCTAATTTTAAATTTGGTGTCCTATTGTGAATGTAAGTCCTTTCATAGGGGACTTTAAGTCTGCAGTTCGTTCCTACCCCTACCCCGCAGAAGCCATTCAGTTGGCTTCTGGGACTTCTTAGGAAGTAAGGGTGGAACTAAAAGAGCACTTTAGCACAAAAGATAGTCCATTCATACTAAAATTTTTAAAAAACTTTATTTGGTCAATTATTTTAAGTTCTTCAAAACCTTGAGAAAATGTTATTATTTTTCTTTCGTTTTTCGAACACCCTATAAAAAACATATTTACCTTGTAAAAACTTTAAAAGAGTGTTCTTCGACAAAAACGCTACATCTCCTTTACCACTTGTTAGGCATTTTAAAGCTCCAAGTTCACCATTAAAATTATCTCCATCGCAAATACCCGATGTTGTATGTGATTCTTTGGGATATTCTGGCGCGCAGCTGGGACCAAAGTAATTCATCATTACGGAATCCGATGGACATTTTAATAGGTTTTTCATGTGGAAGGAGTGCTTAACAGTGTTCCAAGCCATACCGTCGTAAACTGGAAAACATGCTTTTTTGCCTTGGAGGTCTTCAAGTTTTTCCAAATCAGAGTTTTGTCGAGTTACTGCCACTGTTACGTATTTTTCGTTATTGTAGACGGTTTCGTAGAACAATGGTTGTAAATTGTAATCCCTACAATATTTAAAACAACCTATTGTCAGTTTAGAACAAAACCATAGTGTGGGTCAAAAAAACCGACTATTTTTTTTTTACTTTGTACTCTGAAAAATCGGTTACTAGACAACTCTAGAGAATTCTCACCAAACATGAGCTCTTAATTTTGATAACAAGGTCCTCCGCTTTACAATTTTCCATTTTTTCCTCAGTATTAGAAACAAAAATTTATATCTCTTCGACTACTGTTCGTTAAAAAATAACTCTCCTCATATTATTGTAGGAAATAGAACGCTCTACAAAAAAGGTCTCTTACAATTTTTTCGTAAATCTCACCGTTTAAAAGATATCGAAGGTTAAAGTTTAATTATTTTAAGATAAATTTCTGTTTTGCTTATGAATTTTATAACTCGCTTACAAAAAAATTATATGAATCGCGCAACTCATAGTTTTGTAGGGAATTAACTGCTCTACAAAAATGGTCTCTTATGATTTGTCGATTAAACTAAGCGTTTAAAAGATATTCATCGTCAAACTTCAATGCATACTAATTTTAACAGTTTTTGATGAATACCTAATTCGAAAAATTTCAATTTAATTTTTGATTTTTAAGAAAATTTATACAAATTCGAGTTTCTATCGTAAAAGTAACTTATAAAAGTTTCCCTTTCGAAAATTTATTTGAGACTTTTTTATTTTAATAATATTTTCATGAAATTTATCTTTATAATAACTTAAAATCATAAGCAATTGAAAGTTGTTAATGATTCGGCAGAGCGAGCAGTTGCATTAGTCGATGATTACACTGTGCAACACCAAAAATCAAACCGCACCGGACTATTTTTTTCTGAAAATATACCTATCCAATAGCAAAACCCTCGCTGGGTTTGTAAAAGTTAGCTCGATTTATTTTTTTATGGCCGTTTGTATTTTCTAGCTTCATATACCCCAATTTAGACTTGATTTTTTTCGCATATATTTGATTTATATCGTCAAGATTTTTTGTAGAAATTTAGTTACTGAACAAATAAACTCATTTTGTGAACAATCTATATCCCAAAATATTCGAAAAATATTTTTTTTTTAAATTTTTCGATAATATTTAAAATTTCTTGCTAGGTACATCTTCTGGCAAAAATGTTGTAAAGTATACTAAAAGAAGTAATTTATAAAATACGCACACAAAACTGAACTTTAAGTTTACTTATTTGCTTGAAAACAATTTTTAAACAAGATTTTCCAAAATATTCATCTTTTCATACTCAACACCAAATTTTTTGCCGAAATCTTTAAAAATCTGTAGAAAAAACTTGAATAGATATAATAGAATTGTAGAAAAGTACAGAGAGTTTGATTTTTTATTTTGTATTAATTTTATTATTAAAAAACTTTTTTATATCAAAACATCTGATTAATTTCTGGAGAATTCCATCCCTTCCACTTCTTCTCCTTTATTTTCTTGTTCTTCATTTTCATTCTTCACTGGAGAATTCCATCCCTTCATTTCATATATTTTTTATATTCATTTCATTTCAGGCGTTTTAAATGATCCTGATATTCGGAAATTGGTAAAGTATGAAGACTTTGACAGGGCCTTGGTTGACAATGAGTTTCGTGGGCGTCGATAAGAGAAATCATCCTAGGACTTTTAGGCAAACATCGTTCTCCAAATTATGAAGGATCTGTGGGACGAATGTTGGATGTTTTTTTCCAAAATTGGAGTCAATATGTCGCTAAAAATTCATTTCCCTCATCGCCATTTGGACTACTTCAGTCGACAGTTATTGACACAATTATCAAACTGCGATGCCATTTGAGTCCAGATAAAGAGGAAAACGAGCTCCAGATACCATACTAGCCGAAACATTTTGCTGAAGTAAACATATTTTTGACTACGATCAGGAAGAAAATGAAAATGAAGAGCAAGAAAATAAAGGAGAAGAAGTGGAAGGGATGAAATTCTCTAGTGATGAATCAAAAAATGAAAATGAAGAGCAAGGAAATAAAAGAGAAGAAGTGGAAGGGATGGAATTCTTCAGCAATGAATCAGATTACTCAATGTTTTGATATAAAAAAGTTTTTTAATAATAAAATTAATACAAAATAAAAAATCAAACTCTCTGTACTTTTCTAGAATTATATTTTATCTATTCAATTTTTTCCTACAGATTTTTGGCAAAATATTTGGTGTTGAGTGTGAAAAGATGAATATTTTGGAAAATCTTGTTTAAACATTATTTTCCAGCAAATAAGCAAACTTAAAGTTCAGTTTTGTGTGCGTATTTTATATATTACTTCTTTTAGTATACTTTACAACATTTTTGCCAGAATAAGTAGCAAGAAATTTTAAATATTATCAAAAAATTTAAAAAAAAAATATTTTCGAATATTTTGTCCCAAAAATTGGGTTTTTGGGATAAAGGTTGTTCACAAAATGGGTTTATTTGTGCAGTATCTGCATTTATACAAAAAATCTTGACGATATAAATCGAATGTATGCGATTTATAGGTCTAAATTGGGGTATATGAAGCTCGAAAATACAAACGGCCATAAAAAAAAAATTCGAGCTAACTTTTACAAACCCAGCGAGGGTTTTGCTATTGGATAGGTATATTTTCAGAAAAAAATGGTCCGGTGCGGTTTGATTTCGATGACCCGAAAATTGTCGCACAGTGTTATAACCAATGCTTGACAAAAAATGAAGAGCAATTTCAATATTTATTGCAAGTTATAAAAGAACATCGCAAACAATACCCAAATTGTAATAAAGAAAATTTTTATTTCAGTTGATAAAATTAAATAAAGAAACTTTTTAATAACAAATGGAAATTTTTTTTTTCTTTAAGATCAATTCTTTTCATATTAAATTTATGACAAAAACGTTATTTTTTTCAAAATTTAATAAATCATTGACTCTGAGTTAGAAATAATGCACTATTTTTCTTTTCAATATAACCAAACATATGTAGGACTAAAAAAAACGAGAAAAATAGTTTCTCTTTTCATAGGAACTCAAATTTGTATAAATTTTCGTAAAACTCAAAAATTAAATTGAAATTTTTCGAATTATTCATCAAAAACTGTTAAAATTAGTATGCATTGAAGTTTGACGATGAATATCTTTTATACACTTAATTTAATCGACAAATCATAAGAGACCATTTTTGTAGAGCAGTTAATTTCCTACAAAACTATGAGTTGCGCGATTCATAAAAATTTTTTGTAAGCGAGTTATAAAATTCATAAGCAAAACAGAAATTTCTCTTAAAATACTTAAACTTTAACCTTCGATATCTTTTTAACGGTGAGGTTTACGAAAAAATTGTAGGAAACCTTTTTTGTAGAGCGTTCGATTTCCTACAAGAATATGAGGAGAGTTATTTTTTTAACGAACAGTTGTCGAAGAGATATAAATTTTTGTTTCTAATACTGAGGAAAAAATGGAAAATTGTAAAGCGGAGGACCTTGTTATCAAAATTATGAGCTCATGTTTGGTGAGAATTATCTAGAGGTGTCTAGTAACCGATTTTTCAGAGTACAAAGTAAAAAAAAATAGTCGGTTTTTTTGGCCCAACCTATTGTGTAGGTGCAGTGGCGGCTGCTGGATTTTGGGCACACCCATATCTCAGTTATTAGACATGGGACCCACATCAAATTCATATGAGTTTATAATGACATTACCCAGTAAGCACCAAACACTCGGCAAACAGTCGGCCTTCGCTCGGCATAGGCGGTTGACCAGCGGTTCGGCTTGCCCCCATCGTCCCGCTTATGGCCCGCGTTATGTTAGCCCGGTACCGTTTGGCCATGTTCTAACCAAAGTCGGCCAGAATACGGCATACGGCTGCAAAATCGTTTGGCTTGCCCTAGCCGGCCCACTTACGGCTGGAATACGGCCTGCCAAGCAGTGGCGGCTGGTGGATTTTAAGTATACCAATATCTCAGTTATTAGACATGGGACCCACACCAAATTTATAATAGTTTATATTGACATTAAATAAACAAGTTCGGCGCAAACAAAATTTAAATTGAAGTATGCGAAAAAAAGTTAGTTTTTCCTGTCGCCTACCCTGCCTCCAGGCCCCCCTATTTGAGATAATTCAAATTAAAGTGATGCAGTTTATTATCTACTATAATTTATCGACAAATTTAAAATTTTATTTAAAAAATCCAAATATTACAGTTTTTATACCATTTTAAATATTTTTTTATTTTAATAAAATAAATAATAAAAATTTAAAATCGAATAAAGTCTGTAATATTTGGATTTTTTGAATAAAATTTTTAATTTGTCGATAAATTATAGTAGATAATAAATTGCACCACTTTAATTTGAATTATCTCAAATAGGGGGGCCTGGAGGCAGGGTAGGCGACAGGAAAAACTAACTTTTTTTCGCAAACTTCAATTTAAATTCTGTTTGCGCCGAACTTGTTTATTTAATGTCAATATAAACTATTATAAATTTGGTGTGGGTCCCATGTCTAATAACTGAGATATTGGTATACTTAAAATCCACCAGCCGCCACTGCTGCCAAGGCATAAGCAATACATCTCACGGCTGCTTACGCAAGCGAGCTAACTATAAATAGCGATGGGTGGCAATATTTAGTTGGAAGTGTGCGTCTGTAATGGCATAGCTGAACATTAATTGCAATTCGTTACTGAGCAGATGAGGATGGAGACCTCAAACAATATTGAAGGAATAATGGCTAACCATAGTCGAGTCAAAGATCTTTGAGTCGAGTGTGTTAAACCTATAGGATATATCTATCCAGGACGTCTGAAGGCTTTTTTTGAATGGCCTGCAGGCTGGTGTGGCCGGCACTCGGCCAACTATACACAGCCGACACTCGGCCGAGTAAACATAGCCGACATTCGGCCAGGCGGACAAGCCCGGCCTACACGCCGGAACAAATACATGTGTCGGGCCGCACGCGGTCGATTCGGCAAAACGTATTTGGGCCGTATGCGGGCCGGCTAGCTTGTGCTTACTGGGTATATAGACAAGTTTATTTCAAAAGTCCAAGTATTACAGATTTTATACAATTTCTATTTTTTTTTTAAATTTAGAAATAGAAATAATAAAAGTTTAAAATGGTATTAAACCTGTAATACTTGAATTTTTTTAATACGTACATTCGGAAATTTGTTAATAAACTGCAGTGAATTAAATATTGCACTACTTTAATTTGAATTATTTTAATTTGGGGGGCAGGATGCAGGGGTACACACTTAAAAACTAAATTTTTTTCGAATACTTCAATTTAAATTTTGCTTGCGCAGAACTTGTCTATATAATGTCATTATAAACTCATATAAATTTGGTATGGGTCCCATGTCTAATAACTGAGATATCGCCCAGATAGCACAAGAGGTACCCAGTACGTCCATTTTGGGTCCCACATAGGTCCGAACGTCCCAGACCTTTATCGGAAGTTTTGAGTACATCCAGTCAAAGATAATACACCCCATTATCTTTTCGTCCAGTCTCTTACTTATTTGGGAAAATTAAAGCGGATATACTCGGTACGTCCCAAGGACGTAATTTTTGTTTTTTTAGCAATTCAAGCATGGTATTTCCAAAGGGACTAAGTGTCAAGTTGACTAAATAATATATTTTCATTTAAAAATAGTTTGTCATGCAGAATGACTTAAAAAATATTCCAACATTAATATGTTCAAAATATTTATTATTCATTGATAACTCACAATTTTATTTTTGTCACTTAGACCCTTTGGGAATACATCTCCTCAATTCTGTAGAGCTTGTCCAATAAGCCCCAATAAAGTATTTCAGGACGGCCAGAGGATGTCTTACTTAGGACGTTCTGGGGACCGACGATTTGGTAACATCGGATGTCACTGGTACGTCCTGGGGAAGGTTCAGGACCTGATTCGGACGTACTCGGGACTTACTAATGTCAGAACAAGACATACTCAGGACGTTTCCAGTACTTCTTTGTGCTATCCACCAGGCGCCACTGTGTAAGTGGGGTGGTTAGTGAACTCAACTCAAAACCATGGACATTTAAAAAGATTGAATTATAAATTATAGTTTTCCTAGTATAATATTAATTAGGGCTTACTTTTAAAAGCTGGATATAGGTATATGAGGTTTTACCTTCTGGCTTTGTTAGTAAGATCCGGTGAAACCATGACTACATCGGCAGCATTATTCGTGTTTAAAGCCAACATACAATGAGTAGTGTTATCTGCTTTTAAACAATCAATGTCAGGCTCAATTCCATAAACGGCAGCAGTCTCCCTGAGCCAGGAACATTTTGCGTTTTCCACCTGCAATGCAATGTTACTTTAAATGTTCCCAAGTCGGAAACAACACCTTAAATATACATTTTTTTTACAACTTTCGAGTATAATTTGGTTTGAATGGCCATCATTTTGCCCTTAGTTTGTTTTTATTTGTAATATATTAAATTGAATTCACATGCTGTTAATTATTATTTAGTTACTAAACTGTTTTATTTTAATCCTAGACCAAATCAAGAAAAACTGTCCATTTAGACTCGATATTTTTGTAAACAGAATATTTATTCTTACTATAGACGTGGTACATATTCTAATGGTCCTGGGCGGATGACAGCCCGAGAAACTGTTTGCGCTTAGAAACCCGGTGGCTTTGTTCAAGTAGGTTTCGATTGCTTCGATTGGATAGATTTTTTCGACGGTTTGAGTCGTAGCTGACATCAGGTTTAGGACTGCGAACTGCGCTTGGTCAGATGTTGAAAGGTTCGATATTATGGATTGCAAGTCTTGAGCTGATGATCTGTGGAATTAATAAAAAAAATAATATTATATATATATTTATTTGCCCAACAGATTACAAAATCCAATTATAGGACAAAATTATAAAAAAGTGCAAACTTAACAAATAATTGTAAAAACCTACTTTAACAAAGTTACAATAAAAATAAATAAATTATTCTAAACTAAAATTATTAAAAATGTTAGTTACGATGACACCCAAAGAATCAAAATAAATTTAGTTCAAGACATACATTTATATTTGTGAATAGAAAGTTTTGTGTTAATTACATCTTATTAGCCAATTTATTTATGTAAATCATCATGTGGACATTTTTTTGTAAATTTATGTATTTTATAATAAGTATTAAGTGGATATTTTGTAACAATATTTTAGCATTGATTTATAAAATTGGACAATATTTAACAATAGAAAAAGCCAATACCTTTTAGTAACAACAACGGACCAAGGTTTAGCAACCCAAACACATGGATTTGTAGTATTTACAGGCATTAACGTATCGTCGGGACATAGTAAACTAAAATCGTCTGGAGATGATTCGGTGTCACCTTAAAGACATAAAACACATTAATATAACAATGTTTATTATTTCTTTATAATTTTCATTTAATTACCTGGCGTGAGTCCAAAGTGAATTTGCACATCATCCCACCGTGTCCAACTGACATCTCCTGCACCGTCTGTAAGGCAAAGCAAAGGACCTCTTCGTCCCCAATATTTATCGTTTATATTGCAGTTTGGACTACCGCATATTGCGCATAAGTTAGGGTATTTTTGTTCTAAAATAAAGTAAACAGTATTTAGTATTGTTAATTACATCAATTTTTGTTGAGCTTTGTTATAAATTTTTTCCAGTAACCTAATATTATAGTGTGATCCAAGGATGCTATATTATATAATTACAATTATAATTGTAAATTATTCAGAAAGATTGGGTCATTAGTGATTAGATAATGCCAGAACATCGATATGCTGGCCATTTTATTAAAAACATCCAGGAGTCATTGGAACATATTGTTTTCAAAATTACCAAGGAGTCGTTACTGTTAATGACAAAAAAATCCGATTATTTTTGGCACAGACTGGATGGTATGAATATAAGTTATAACATGACGGCAATTCACACAGTAAAACAATTATTTTCAAGTAAAAGATTTTAAGTTTTGTAAATTGGAATAGTGATGTTAGCTGCCACCAACCTCATGGTGTTGTCAAAATGAAATTAATTGTATTTAAAATAAAAAATAATTCGATATTAGAAATTTATTACAATTGAAAAGTAAACCTCTCAGTATGACTTGAGACATCATAAGATGCAGACGCGCAAGCAATCGCTCCTAAAGAGTAAGAAAGTAATAAAAGCCTATCAGTGACAATAAATCGATCACAGTATAGTTAAGTTTGTTAGGCAATTTTAAGTCTTACAGAATCAGCAAAGCGCTAATACAACAAGTGAAGCATGTAAGAAATCATTTACACTACCTGTGCAGGTGAATTCAATGTACCAGTCTCCCGAAGGAACCAAAGTGGACAGTAGAAACAAGAGATAAGTTCAATAGCTTTAATCCGCATGATTTAAGTTGCATTCTCTACTAAGAAAGTAAAGCCTTTTTTCGAAGAGGTTAAGCTTCTGGAACGCACCTAAACCAGAAAAACAAAACAGCCAAACAAGAAAAAGAGAATTCCTACAGGACAGCAAACTTAATTATTCGTAATATAAATCCGTACAAAACACAGACCTACAAACAAGATGGACCGGTTTATTTACATTGAAAAGAGTGGCCAGGAACAAATATAAATATTTTCCCTCAGTTGTCACATTTGACTTTGAAGTTTCTATATTTTACGTAAAAGATACTTGGAATCCACAACATTTAATATTTTTTATTTGATTTTATAGTGAAAAATACCAATAGTGAGTGATATAAAAATGGTGAAGCAGTGCTACGTTTGTAAAAGACTTGGATCCAAGAATTTAAAACTTTCTTTTCATAGGTTAGTTTATTTACAAAACAAACCCTGCCAGGAGCGTAGAAACTGAATAAATAAATGAATTCACTTAAATTTTAGATTTAAAGAGCCAGATTCTACATCATCTGGAACACTAACTGACAAGGTTAGTATTTTGTTATACCTATATATTTATATATATTAAATATAATTTTTACATAGGATTGCAAAACACAATAAAAAATGTACAATTTAATATTTTTATTTATCCCTAAAAACAGAACGCCACTGGTGTGGGAACTTGTTTATAAATACCCCTTACCCCTTTACCCCTAATCTAAATAGTTCTTGGCAACAAAACATTGTGTATTTTGAATAGGAAAGGCCAGTCCATTTTGTTTGTAGGTCTGTGGTACAAAACCTACACAAGTCACCTAGACAACAACAAATAAACATGCCAACACACCAATATAAGTCTTTACTGAAATAGAGCTAAGGCTTACGCACAGTGGGACAAATAATTTGCATCTTCTTACTTTCCTTTACAGATTTTCGCATAAATTATTATAAACAAAAAAAACTTATAACTTTCGGTAGTCACATTGCCGACTACCGAATACTGTCTATCGATGGTTCTCGACCCTAGACTAAAGAAATGGTTTCGCACAGTGGGGAAAACAATTGTGGACTGCAGTGCCCAAACTTCCAGCACATTAATTTTTAGCGGACACGGACGCAAAAGAAACAGATAGTAGTTCAAGACCATCAAGAATGGGTCCAAGCAGCGAACTAACCACCCAAACTCCATTCATGAACCCCAATTGAATGGGGGTGGTACTAAATTCCTGGGTTAGGGGGATTCCGGATTGTACTTAGTTTTGGGTCAGCCCAATGTCCCCCAAAAACCAAAATGTTTTCCCTACTTGTCCCGCACTCCGCTAGGCCTTAACCATAGAAATTATCATCCACGATCCGATTTACCAGTCGGGGTGAAAATTCGGATACACCAAACACAGATAATGCTGTGCAGTTGCGGGATACGTATGAGAACTGAAAGTTGGTACAAATAACTCAGGGAGATCAGGCGATGCCGATAGGGCCATATGTTCTCATACTCAATTGAAAAGTACGACACTTTTATTCAAATTATGGTAGATTTTGGATTATGCAAATGTACATTTTGACATGTACATAAAAAAAATTGTTTCGGACTCAAAACGTCTTTTAAAATATTTATTGCTCCGATGGCATGCCTACGTAGTTTAGATGTTTTCTTGCTGGGACAACATTTAAATGAATTGGATGCAATACTTACTTAATTCATCATCCTTCTGAGGATCATGTACCCAAGGACCAGCCTTGCAGGATGATTTGAAAAAATCTGATGTTGCTTTAATTCTATTTTCGTTAATAGTTAATTTGGGGTTACAAGATTGTGGCACCACCGTGGATTCAAAATACTAAAAATGTTAAATTAATTATGTTATGTTTTTTAGAGTAACTCCGAATAAATGTTTAAAAATTTATTCATTATATAAAGTGGTTCAGAATGGATGGGTAAAGTCCATTTTCCTTAACCGTTTCTGAAAGTTTAGCAATATTTTGTTCATCCAAGTTAATGTCATGATGAGGCCAAAAATGTCTGTGTTAAGATTGGACAAACTCCATTACAAAAAAATTAAGACATTAACATTAAAATATTGAATATATTAATAACCAAATTATAAAAAGGAGACAGATAAACTTACATTAACTAGAATTTTTGTGAAATATTCTTCGTATCCATACCCAGGATGACAATATTTTTTGTCCTTAAGATGATGTCTGCTGGTAATCCCAGATTTTTTATTAACCACAGCGACCAATTCGTATTCATATTTTTCTTAAAAAAACAAGCGATAAGTTCAAAGAATATTTATATAGTTATTGTTCTTGGAATTTAAATAATTAATAATTTGTTTACCACTTGTATATCTCAGTTCATTTGTAACGAGAACTTCGATTTCGGACGTGTGAGCAGTGACTAGATCTTCAGCTGTCAAAACAGTAAAATCAGCTGTGCCTTTTGACAAGTGCCTCAAACAATCCAATCTAAAACACTTAAGTTAATAAATTACATCCTGTTTTTTAGTATAGAAGATCAATTTTATTATTTCAATTTAAGCAAGGTTTACGGCTTTGTATGTGAAAATAAAAATAAATTTTCTGAAAAGTATACGGTTGTTTTCAGGGGGACATATTTACACATTAATTTTATCACTGTAACTTCAACCCCTTAGCGGGGGCGGCATTCACAATTATTTTTTCAATTGGAAAGAGGTATGTACGCGTCGCCGAGCAATAAAATTTGTTGAAAAAACTGTTTTAAACTAACAAATATCAGTCGACAAATCGACTTTATCTTCAGTAAAGTAGTCGATGTGGATAGTTCGTTATTTCTGTGCTTTTATTTTCTTTCGATTCGATAAAAGTTTGTTTATTCTATCCCGGAGAGAGTGAAAATTATTTAATTGTATTTTATAAACAATCAATGTACAAGAGAAACAGCAACTTTGTTTAATGAGAGGCATCCAAATAGACACGTACATCATGGTTACATCATAGAATTAGTACCAAACTGGTTCAGTGGCCAATAAAAAACGAGATGGTGAAAATCCCGTGAGAAATGAGGCAGTAGAAGTAGCTGTTCTGGGTAAAATTACATTGGACCCTACATTAAGTACCAAAAAACTTGATGTAACAGGAGTTTCGCGGGCCACCCTACAGAGAATTTTTAAACTTCTTCAAGAATTGCATGAAGATACTCTCAACTACCTTTTTATTGTTTGATTCTCAGAAGAATGTTTATTTTTTCCCAATGGCATTGGCAACATCCTCAGAAATTAAACGTTTGGGCTGGTATTTTTGCTCATCTCATAATTGGACCACTTTTTTATTGGAAAATTTAAAAAAAGCTACTAAAACTTGTTAGAGAATGCCGTCAACCCAGCGCTGAGGCTTCTTCCCATTTTGCATAAACTGCACAGCAGTTTCTGGATTAAACGATTCCTGGTAAATGGATTGGGAGAAGGTGTGCTATCGAATAGGCCGCGAGATCACCGGATTTATCTCTCCTTGTTTTTGTTGTGGGGACATTGTGGCTCAAATTTAAAAAAGAAACGCCATTTTAAAGAAAATTTAATGTCCTTTTAAAATATATATAACAACAATATTAACCAAGGGGTTGAAGTTACAGTGATGAAATTAATGTGTAAATATGTTTCCTTGAAAACAAAAGTACAAAGGCCCAAAGATTTTTTTTATTTTCACATACAAAGCCATAAACCTTGCTGGACAACCCCAGATAACATTATGAGGTTCATAATTGACGCATATTGCAGTCACAACGTGATTGTAATTCGCACGTATGCACGCATATATGCATCATTTGCGTCATCAATTGAGGATCATATAGCCAGCACATGTGATGGTTGGATAAATTTTTCTGGACATGATTAACAGGTGAATTTTGGACTTGCATTGCCTTAATTTGATTGTTTTTTTTTACGTTTCGATTAGTAATTATCTTTAATTGTCTTCAGTTATTACCTAAAGACCATTAGAGATAATTACTAATCAAAACGTTGTAAGAAAAACAATCAAATTAAGACAAGGCAAGTCCAAAACTCAGCTGTTAATCATTCATAAAATTGATTTATTGCGAAATTTTGGTCAATAAGTAATAATCCAAAAGATCTTTTTCTTTAAGTCATTTATTTTAGTTTTTGTGAGAATTGTCTACATTTATAGAAAAATATCTTATTTTAATTAAAATTAGGTATCTTTTTACAAATTCATAAATAAATTAATGATAAATTAATTTATAAACGTGATCTTAAGATCAACGTGTTAACTCAATTCCAATGTTGAATTCCAAATAAAATTATGTATATTTTTTATACAAATGTAGTCTACAAATTTAGTCTTTACAAATCCAGTATTTTCACAAATTAACCATATGGTGCAAAAGTGAAAAGTTTGCAATCATCAAATTTTTTGAAAATTTTAGTTATATATGATTGCAAACTTTTCACTTTTGCAAGATGTAGTGTAGATCTAGTATTACATCTACAATTTTGCGATAACTATTCAGCAAAAGTGAAAAGTTTGCAATCATTTCGTGCCCTCATATTCCCATTAATCACAAAATGAATTTCATATCGCAGCGTTTTTATCGTCATGCATGATTCCGCACGAAGTGAAGGCACTGTGCGTTTTAATGCCCGTGCGTGTATTCCCATTAATCATAAAATGAATATCATATCGCAACGTTTTTACCGTCACGCATGATTCCGCACGACGTGAAGGCGATGTGCGTTTTGCTCCTCACGGTTGTTATCTGGGACCTTGTATACTAGATAAACTTAATATTAGGTACCTATCGATTCCTACAACGCATTCTATATTGCTTTTTAATTTTGTCAGTGTTGGACAATAATGATTAGATACTTTATATCCTCCTTTGCTATCAACAACACAGATTCGATCTGAAATTAAAAGAATAACATTATAATTAAATAATTATTGACATGTTGGTGGTCAACATATTTACGTTTGCAATAAATAATATTTTATTTTTGTTTAAGGTGTAATTGGGTATTATTATAAATTTCATGGGAAAATAAAGCATAATTTAAAATAATCACCTACTATAATATGCATATAGTTATAACTAAAATTCATAAGTATGTAACCATTTTTTTTTATTATTTTTAGGTATGTAGGTAAATATAATTTGTTAAACCAAATAATTGGATATACTTTAACATAGGTAATTAATGTTCGAGATTGCTCTCGAACATATTCTCACGCACAGTATTATTGACGAGCACCGTGCTTGTTGAGAGCTTAATATCGTTTATACAGTTTTAATAATTTCCTCACACATGGATCAATTCGCAAACATTTCTTTGATAATCTATGTGCAAAATACTTAAACCTGCTTTCCACGTCTGTTTGTAACTCACTGGCAAAGTCTTGCTTTCTTCTAAATGGTGAAATACTTAATTGCACGTAAACAAAATCACTCATTTTGAATTTATGATATTTTTTACAATTTTTTATCTCAACTTGGCACCTGAATTATTATTCTAGAGGCCAAAATTTTGTAGGATAAATAGTTCAGTAAAAAGACATCTTTTGGTTACTCAGTCAAAACAAAGCAAGCAAAAACATTACAAGTAACATTAATGAAGCCCTTCTGGGCAATCAGTAAATGGCAAGTTGTCAACCTAGAGATTTAGTCACGGTCTAAATTTAAAGTTAGCAACAGGTTTTTAGTCACGGGCTGAAGTTATTTTTAAGTTATTTGACACAAGTTTGTCAAATGTCATACAATCGTTAAAATAAAGTGCCTTTCTTGTAAAATAATATTAAATGTGAAAATTATTTTATTATCTCAATACAAAAGTATTAAATAGTTTCTTGACGCGAAAATTTGAAAAGATTATATGAAGGTTTGTACTGACCGTAGTAGTGCAGTTAACTAGATTTAACCAATAAAGCGTTAAAAATTTTGCGTACAGTGCCCATAAAACATTTTTTGCCGTGAAAAACTGCTTCTATATCGATTGTTAGTCTATTTTCAAGGTATAAATTTTGATTTATAGTATAGGTATACACAGAAAATTTTGGGATTTTAACGCCGGTAGATTTAGAAGTTGGAAATTCTAACGGGAACTCCAATAAGAAACTTTGTGATAATATTTTGAAAAATATTCTCTTAACATAATCAAATTTTAAAGTTATTTAAACCCAGATAGCAAACGTGAATACGAAATCACGCGTGAGTGAATAATGTGTGCTATATGATTTCACACGTGAAGTCTTGAACTCGTAATTCACACGTGAGTAGATTATGAATTCATATTATAGTCTCGTGTGATTTAATCGATTTTATTTTAAAATACATGGATTGCATGATTAAAAACTGCACGTTTAAATATAAATAGAATATTAATATTCTAATATCAAAAATATTATATTAATATATTTTCATTTAATATTGTATGTCATTATAATAAATTATAATTATCTCTGGTAACACGTGTTACCCTCCCTTTCCCCATGTCAAAAGACATTTTCAGTCACAATCTTTATTTTAAATGTTTTAAAATACACAAATTAATTATTATATGTATTAATTATATAATATATTAAGTTATAAGTAGTTATATTATATAATTATATATAATAATATATATCAGTGGCGGATTGGGGATTTTGGGTATACCAATATCTCAGTTATTAGACAAGGGACCCACACCAAATTTATAATAGTTTATTATGACATTAAATAGACAAGTTCGGCGCAAACAAAATTTAAATTGAAGTTTGCGAAAAAAAGTTGGTTTTTTGTGTCGCCTCACCTGGCTTCTGGCCCCCCCATTTGAGATAATTCAAATTAAAGTTGTGCAATTTATACTTCACTATAATTTATCGGTAAATTTAAAATTTTATTTGAAAAATCCAAATATTACAGATTTTATACCATATTAAATATTTTTTTATTATAATAAAATAAATAATAAAAATTTAAAATCGTATAAAATCTGTAATATTTATATTTTTTAAATAAAATTTTAAATTTGTCGATAAATTATAGTGGAGTATAAATTGCACCACTTTAATTTGAATTATCCCAAATGGGGGGGGCCAGAAGCCAGGTAAGGCGACACAAAAAACTAACTTTTTTTCGCAAACTTTAATTTAAATTCTGTTTGCGCAGAACTTGTCTATTTAATGTCATTATAAACTATTATAAATTTGGAGTGGGCCCCACGTCTAATACCTAAGTGAGATATTGGTATACCCAAAATCCCCAATCCGCCACTGATATATATTATTATAATTATATATATTATAGTAATCTAATACCTAAGTGAGATATTGGTATACCCAAAATCTCCAATCCGCCACTGATATATATTATTATAATTATATATATTATAGTAATATATATAATTACATAATATATATTGGTTTAAAAGGTCACAATTATATGTTATAGGTACATTAATAATTAATATATGTATATTATATATTAATTAATTAATTAGTTAACCTTAAGGTTATAATTGTAATGTATAACCTATAAATGAGGAGCAATCAACCAAAACCAGATAAATCCATTTTGACTTCTTGAATGATTCATATTTCTTTTAGTCGGATAAATCAATTGGAAAAGTGAATTTCAAGATAAACTTATTATAATAATATATATATTATATACTAATATTAATATTAGTATATAATATAATAATTATTATATAATATTAATATTAATATTATGATCATATCATATTATGATACCAAGTTTAGCTTGAAATAGATATTTCCAATGGATTTATCTGAACAAAAGAAATAGGAACCATTCAAAAAGTCGAAATGGATTTATCTGGTTTAGTCTGATTGCTTCTCAATTATGGCCTTTTAAACCAAGTTTTTGTGTATTTTTTTAAGGTGTTAAAATAAATATTTCGACAGATTAAATTATTTTGAAAAATGAAATCCATATTCTAAAAGCGCATGCCCAAAAAATAAAAAGTTCACGCGTGATGGCAAATTGAGCATCAATTGAGGACTCATCTGTCGCGTTATATGAATTCACGCGTGAATTTAATTTTCACGCGTGAATTCGTAGTGAATTCATAGTGAATTCATTTTGCTATCTGGGAATATTTTAAAGTATCAATAATTGTTAAGTTTAATTAAAATAATAACGGCAATGATAATGGTAAAAATTACTTTAAAAATGTTGATTGGGATGGTTACTTTATTTTGGTATAGGTTTCGCTTCATACAAATATTTCATTTAAATCATCTTTAATATAATATTAAGTATTTGTCGGACAAAAAGTACAAATTAAATTTGTGACAAAATGACGTTTAATAGTAATATTATAAGAGTTACATAACATAACAAAAATATATTTATGTCATAAGGCTGAGAAGTGAGTCTTTTTGTGCCTCAAGTTTAAAGGCCTACGCGTTAACATTTTATTTTTAAGGCACAGTTTTATACATAATACTGAAATTAAAAGATATACTATACTTTTAATAACAATTAGTTATTAAAAGTATAAATAGAGGTTAGATGGTTCAGAACTGACAATAGTTATCAAATTTTTGTATTGGTTCTAACGGGATTTTTACAGACTAGGATGTAAAAAACTTCACATGATTTTGAATTATTTTTACAGCCAAAGAGATAATTGATTATTTGTTTATGTTTATTTGTTTATTTTGCTTGTTTTTGACATACATACCTAGTTTGAAATTTTCAAGTGGGTAACATTTAAATTTAAAAAACTAAAAAAAATATGTCCAACATAAAAGTAAAATCTTTATACCTATTTAAATAAAGATAAACTTTGTAGCAATATATTGAAAGTCTTATAGCAATATTTTGAAATGATTATTTCCCAGTGGGATGTTGTAAACATGAATAAAGAATGTTTAGTTAATAGTGCACTATATTTATATTATTTTTGTATTTTAATATATATTTTTTTTAATACAAAAACACAATATTTTACTTACTCACTGAGATTGGTTTTTAAGTTAATTTTTTTTATATACCTACTTTGCATAAATATAATACAGTGTGACCCATTTGTTTGCGACTCACCCCTGTAAAATGTTTATTTATTGTGCGATTTTAACCGGATTTATTTTAAAGTGTAAATCTTGATAAACTGTATTTTTGTAGAAAAAAATGCCATATTTGTATAAGATACAAGGCCTACTGTCAGTTTTTAAGAGTAAATTTTTAAGAATTCATATTAGCGACTTTTTTAAACAAAATCTAAGCACTGGATTCACCACCCCTATAGTTTAATTTTATTTCAATGTTTTTTTCATGGATAACTTAATAAATTTTTGTAGTTATTATGGTGCATTTTTCTACTTCAATAAAATTTAGTAAAGGGTCGTTTTGAGGGGTGGTGAATCCAGTGCCGTGCTTTGTTTAAAAAAATCGCTAATAAAAATATGGCGTTTATTGCTCCAAAAATACAGTTTATCAAGATTTACACTTTAAAACAAATCCAGTTAAAATCGCCCAATAAATAAAGAATGGGTCAACTGTATATAATATTTTAAAATGATTCTTTCTCAGTGGGATGTTGTAAACATGAATAAAGAATTTTTAGTTAATAGTGCACTAGATTTATATTATTTTTTTTTATTTTAATATATTTTTTTTAACACAATATTTTACTTACCTACCCACTGAGATTGTTTTTAAGTTATTTTTTTTTATTGCTATACCCACTATGCATAAATATACCTAATTAGTTTTATAATTTACTGCAGTAAACCATGGTTTGATTTGTTTATTTTTGTCTAGACAAAATATTCAGGTTTACAAAAATCCAGTCTTAAATAGATGTTCAAATTTGGTAATACCTATATTATACCTAAATAAATTTAGATATAATGTATTTAATAAAACGCATAAATATTAAATGATGAGTTAATGGGGCGTAGAGTAATACTTACACTTATCACAATAAACAAATGATAAACACGCGAGTGCCGCAACTACACACGTGCTTGATCTAAACATGGCAACAGTTCGCGGGACCGTGGTCTAATCGACACTGACCAAATCCAACGCGAATAATATAATACATTCGTATCAAAATACATATTTAATCACGAATATGAATTTAAATTTTCTTGTCTGGTGCAAGCTGTTGGTTTTGACTCGCGAAGGACGCGCCTCACTTCTCCAATCTCTTGTGTTGTCTTTTATGTGCGGACTTTCCTGTGTTGTTTATTACCTTTTTTAAATGGAATTCCCTCCGTATGTGTTAATTATATGCATCAAGTTTACTTGTTTTTTTTTATTCTGGCGAGTTGTGTTCACTAAGAAGGATCGAGATTAGATATTATTGTGACGTGATTCAGTGAATCAAATTGGTTTCCTTATTGGCTATCACAATGAGCCATTATATTGAATTTAAGTTTTAATAGTTTTTTTATTATTTATGATATAAACACAAGGTGAATCTTTTTAAACCTGTTTCTGATAATTAAGATGCTAGATTCTCATAGTTGAAAATTGTTTGAATATTTGTAATGGGGTTCCACAAATAAATTTGTATGCAAATTAATTTTAAAACATTTATTTTTTTTACAAAAATTACATTTTATTTATTTTACAGATTTCAGTTTCATCCGAAAATAAAGAACTTGCTATATCGTTTTTATTTTCCTTAAAACACCGAATTAATTTTTTAAAACATTTTTATGTGAAAAAGAAATTAACCTTGTATTTTTCTAATTAATGCATATGGTTACTCGAGGATTTTTGTCCCGCCCGTCACAATTAAAAATTGTGAGTAAAAACTACACGTTATAAAATTTATTTTAGAAAATTATATATTATGCTTTTAATAATTTATAAGCACAATAAAAATAATAATATAAAATATTAATTTAGGTACCTACTTAATAACTTGTGGTTTTTACTCACAATTTTTAATTGTGACGGGCGGGACTAAAATTACGTGTGAGTAACGTGGAATGCCCCATATGCATATATTATATACAGGGTGTCCCAAAAGTCAACGATATCCTTTGGAGGACTGATAGACCCACTTGGCAAGAAATGTAACAGAAACCCTAAAAACGTTTTCGTACTGTTATATTTTAAACACTCAAATTTAAACGTTCCTGTATTGTATTCTGAACGTAAGCATAATGATGCCTACAAGCTATACAATACCTAAACGTTACTGTATCGTTTTACCTTTACCCTAACACATTTACGTTGTGATGACTCTAATTTTATAACGTTAGTGTATTGTTAATATATCTACGTTAATGAAGCGGTATATATGCTAACTGTTAATTCCTAAACGTATATGCAACGCTAATTCATCAGCGTTATTGAATTGTTAATAAATTTACATTAACTAAACGGTACATAATTACTGTTGATTCCAAAACGACAATATAACGTTATCCTGCCGTTCATTAAGAACGTTTCTAGAAGGTTTATAAATGTACATTTATTAAACGTTACATATTGATATTGAAAATTTAGAAGCAATGCGCAGCCGCCAAAAAACCAAGCCAATATGTCTGTTTGGCGTCACACGTGTTGGGCGTTTGTTTGTTTGTTCTTATTATTCACGGTTATTATTATTTAAACAGCACGGTTTTGCTTGGACAATGGAACAAAATAGAAAAAACATTGAGGTGAGTAGGTACTATTTACTCTTGTGTAATTGCTTAGGTATATTCCATTGCAAAACATTAATGTAAATCATACTTACAAAAAGTTTTAACTACTACTATTTATTCTTGTGTAATTGCTTAGGTATATTCCATTGCAAAACATTAATGTAAATCATACTTACAAAAAGTTTTAATGCTTTGTCGATCCTATTTTGCTAAAACAAAAATTCTTCGATTTTCTTTCCTAAAATATTTTGTTGGTGTCATATTTATTTTGAAACAATTATTATTAGAAATATGTAAATAAAAACCACACTGTTAAGAGTTTCCAAGGTCAAATGATGGACTGTCTGACCTGAGCTCATCTCCAGAGATAAACCACCAAGTGCAAGAAGGTACCTAATACTTTAGAGAAATTTTATGAATATTACTAAAGTTTTCATAATTTCAGAGGCAAATCCAATAGAAGCGAATCTAGCTGAGGCAAATCCAGTTGATGCATAAGATGAATTCCCCATTGTTATTGCATCTGATATTGAAACTTGTAAGAAAACGTGTGAGTAAGTCCAGTTCCAATAGTAACTATTTATTTTTTAAGTCACGCGTCATTAATTACTTGATAAATATTCAAACTATACAGAAACTGTTGCTAGACAAGATTAACAAACTGGAGCTTTCTGTAAACGTGCAGTATCCGCAGGAGGGAGTCGAAAATGTAGGACCTCAATCAAAGAACTGCCATGCAACACATTGGAACAACTTAAACAACTGGAGAATGTGTTAACTGCGGAAGATGTTTACAATAAATTGGTAACTCTTCTATAGTTTTCTTATATAAAAAAAAGAAATAAAATAAATGTATTATTAATACAAACACATATACATGAGTAACTTTTAAAACTTGATGGTAGATTGAATGAATATGTCTTTTAACTTATTTTCTTTTATGCCTAGGCGCGGTAAAACAGTACTACCCGGCACTAATAATGAAAATATTCGAGAAAAGCGCCATGGATTTTTTCCGTCAAGGAAACCAGCGATTAAAACGGGAAAAAGTTGCAATTGAAAAAAATGCCGTTGAATAATTATTTAAATAATCATTTAAATGACCATGAATGACTGAGAATAAAGAAACCAAAGAATATTTGTTTAGTTTTGTTAAAATATTTAATAAATTTTTTATAATTTTAAGTGAAACATTTTTATTTCATAAATTACATTATTACCACAGTATCGGCTGGTGGATTTTGCATATGCCATATCTCAGTTATTAGACACCAAATTTATATGAATTTATAATGACACTTAATTAACAATTTAAATAGAATTTGGAGAAAAAATATAGTTTTAACTCTGCCTACCCTGCAGCCTGGCCCCCCTAATAAAGATAATAAAAATTTAAAATTTATAATAAAAATAAAAATTTAAATAGTGCAATTTATAATTCACCAGTTTATTAACAAATTTCAAAATTTATTTAAAAAATCCAAGTATTACATATTTTATCCCATATTATTTTAGGAAAAGAAATAAAAATTTAAAATGGTATACAATCTGTAATATTTGGATTTTGATTTAAAATTTGTTGATAAACTATGGTAAATTATAAATTGCACTGGCCCTAATAACGATAATCCAAATTTAAGTATATATACTTAAATTTGTATTATCTTTATTAGGGCCAGGCTGCAGGGTAGGCGGAGCAAAAACTATATTTTTTTCGCAAACTTATATTTGAATTCTGCTTGTGCAGAACTTGTTAAATTAGTGTAATTATAAACTCATATAAATTTGGTGTGGGTACCATGTCTAATAACTAAGATATCGGTATACGCAAAATCCAGCAGCCGCCACTGTTATGCCAACGTAACATATGTAACACCACAACCGGAACGTTACATAAACGTTTTGATAATAACGTTAAATAGATGCTGCGCGGTACCACCATATGTAACATCACAAGCGGAACGTTACATAAGCGTTTTAAAAATACCGTCACAATGTTACGTTGCAGAAGGCGGACATTAACTGTAACTGTGACGATGCCGTTACGTTTATGTTACCTTATTGGACACGTTACAGTAACTCGTTAACACTAATAAAACGTTTAAGCAACAGATCCTTGCCAAGTGGGGACCAACTCATGACTAAGCAGAAAATCAAAATATGACCTTGGTAAAAAATCATTAGTTTTTGAGATATACCTAGTCATTTTTATGAATTTTGTAAAACTTGACACCTTAGATCAGTTTTTCGAGTGCCACTGCTACAAAATCTACTATTAATTTAATTTTGAATTGCAATTAATAGCAGTCCTATTCAGGGTTACGCAAAATAAAATATAATCTAAGAACATAGAATGTTATAGTTGTGGCACTCGAAAATCTGATTTTATGTGTCAAGTTTCACAAAATTCATAAAAATGCCAATATCTTAAAAACTAATGATTTTTTACTAAGGTCATGTTTTGATTTTCTGATTAATCATGAGCTGACCTATTAGTCAAAGGATATCGTTGATTTTTGGGACACCCTGTATATGTTAAAATCATTAAGATAGAATATATCTTAATAGTAAATATACATACCTATATAAATATGTGCCCATCTATAGATGTATAATTAATAATTACCCTGTTGTAAATGACCGATTAATTCCTGTAGAAACCAATTGGACTTACTGGATTTAATTGGGCGCGATATAAAACAGAAATTGGTTTTTACTGGTATTTTCCATGATGGAAAAGTCCAATTAGGATTTTATTGGTTTCGACTGAATAAAGGCAATAGGTAATTTCCAATTGAATTCAATTGGGCATTCCCAGTGTAAGATCTGTAAAAAAAAATCTGCTAATTGGTTATTCCCAATACAATACAAATATCGCAAGAGGGCTCTCGTGTAGCTGCGCAAAATCAACGAGGTTGAACGAGAAAAAACAACAACAAGTCTTTGAACGCCATTTATTAACATCCTTTGCAAGAAAGACAAAAAAAATGATTATAACCGAGTAATTTTATTTATTTTGTATTATAGATAGATAGATATATACCTATATAGTATGATAGTAAGTTATATGGATCAAAACATACATATATCACAAAAAAAATAATAAAGAAATAAAATTACTCAGTAACTATAAATTTTTTGTCTCTTCTGTGAAAAATGAATTCTGGTTTTTACCCGGTTATCCTTATCCTAAAATTATTTTTGAATGAAAAATAAACTGGTAGTTATTTCCTAATAAAAAATTAATTGGTTTTATTTGGTTGGAATGGGTTTGGTGGACCAATTCATTCCATGCATGTGCATTTCTCTTGGATTTAGCCAAAAGAGACAAGGCATGGATTGGTATTTTCCAATTCAAGCCGCTGACTTCATTGGAAATTACCAATAGGAATTCAACTGGAATGAATTGGTGATTCATAGTGCCAAAACACATTTCAAACCAATTCAAACCAATTACTTATTTTTTATTGGATTCTATTGGTATTTTCCAGTTCAAGCCGCTGACTTCATTGGAAATTACCAATAGGAATTCAACTGGAATGAATTGGTGTTCATAGCGCCAAAACACATT